ACATTTATTTAGTAACCATTATGTGAGCAATGTTTAGCATTTAAAACTTAGACTCACCTATAAGGCACAAAAGTCTTTACCACCAAGTCAGAATGTGCTGCTAGAAAAATTACACTAAAGGGTTAAAAAAAGGAAGTAACCTCGGTTGCAAAAGGTAAATCCTAGTCTCTGGAAGGCAAAATTTCTAGGTGTAGAGCTGGAAAGAGGGGTTTCAGGAGAAGGGAAAGCCTGAAAGGTAGGCTGAGGCAGAAAGGCCTCCAAACTCCCACAAAGGTGTGTTGTGACTCTGCCCGTGGGCAGACCCCGCAGAGTTAGAAAGCTGGGGCCTCCTGCTGTGTGGTACTTCAGGAAAAAAAACACTCACTGGGAAAGCCAGAAATAAAAAGGACATTATTGTGTTGACAAACCTGTCTCAGATTAAAAGGTGGAGCTGGAAAATTGTCAAGAGCGCGTGCTGGTTCCATTTTTTCTAATGGGCCACAGGTTTGCCTTTCAGTCGCTCCCTTCCGCTTCCTCTCTTAACCCTGCTCTTGTTTTCTGTTCACCTGTGTCTCAGAAAAGCCTTTCCTACCCGCTGGACTCCCTCAACGGGCACAGGCCTGTCTAAATGTCAGTACAGGAAATCATCTGGCCTCTTCACTGTGCAGCGAGAGGCGGCCAGCATAGGGAAGCAAGGGTAGCAGTGGGAAATTTACAAGAACTCCAAAGAAAAATCTAGATGGCTTTGTTTGGGAGGTATTTCTTTTTACACGTTTTACTTTATGTGAACATGCAATGCTCATGTTGAATGCTAAGAAAGACTTCTCAGTAGATACCAAAGGCAGCAAGTTGTGACTAAGAGGACTGTGGGGTCAGGCTCCACTGGGCTATGACTTTCCCAGCACCCAACCTGCTTTTCAGCAGACCCATTGTTCTCAGCACAACTGCAGCCCCAGCCCCAGGGCTGAGCTATGCCAGGGAGCACAGGACAGGATATAGCAGAGATAAGGCCCACAGGAGGGAGGCTCTGCGAACTTTGACCACTGATGTCAGCTCAGACCCTCACACACGAGGTCCTTGCCTGACCCCCCCCTTTCCGAGCCTGTAACAGGCCCAGCTTTTCTTTGTTCTCCGAGGTCGGTCTTTCCGCCCGCTGTCTGCTCAGGTATATTAAGTCCTGTGCCTCACTGCCTTCACAGAAGCCTGTCGGGTGGTCTCTGACTCACGTCATTGATTACATCGGTGGCTGGTGCTGGACACTGTGACTGCGGAAGCGAAAACCTCTGTTCAGCAAGACAATCAAATCTGAATGATCGCGGCCCTTGTAACGCCTTCCCCAATAGACATGATCGCGGTTGGATAACGACCCACAGGCCTAGGAGTGGTGGCGGCGGATTCGCGAGGACGGCGCCGGCCGGGGTAGCAGGCAGCACCCACAGTGGGGCCTGGGAACCTGCCGCTAGGGCTCTGGGCGACAGGCGTGGGAACGGCACCAGGGGCAAGAGGCTGGAAGGCAGCGGACCACGGCAGGCGAAGGGGAGCGGCCAAGAGAGGCGCATGCTGCGTCCCCGGAGCTGAGGTGCATCGTTGGAGGCCTGAGGCGTCACTCAATGTGGCGTGTCACTCCCACTACCAGATCCCGACGGCCCACCTAGAGCGAAGATATTCACGGTTGTAAACCGCGCACTTTCCCGTCCGAGATGCGGGTCCTACCACGCTGGCAGGCGGAGGTCTTACGTCAATGACTGACTCCGCCTCCATGGTGAAAGAATTTGGGTGTCTATAGAAAGCCTGTCGCACAACGAGTTAGCAGTACAGGACAGACCTTTGAAAGCGGAAGGAGTGTCTCTCTCAACCTTCTGCGCTCTTTGGTCTTTCCTTTTTGGGCATCTTTCCAGCCTCATAGCGTGGATCCACTCCCTATTTTTGTTCAGGCAGGATCTTGGGCAACCCCAGGCCACGGCGAGGGGCGGGGCGACTCTGGGTGGGGCGGGGTCCTAGATAGGCGGCGTCGCGTCGCGTCGCGCTCGGGGCCCGCGCCGGGTAGCGCTTCTCTGCAGTGCCCGAGGCGGCTCTGATCTCGAGAGCCTTCACTAGCTCCACGGGGACCTCTGTGCACGGATGGACCCGCCCGGACCTGGCGGGAAGCGGCCTGGCAGGCGGCGGCCGCGGCGATACCAGCAGAGCCAGGACAGGGCCGAAGCCGCGGGCCCCTGAGGTGTGCGTAGCCAGTGGGCCCGGCGAGACCATGATGCCGGGCGAGACCCACTCAGCGGCGCCCGGGACGGCTGCGGACCTCGCGCGGTGCCAGGGCTGCGCCTCGCTGCAGCAGGTGCGACGCCTCCCCGGGCGAGGGCGCGGACTACCTAGCGGGGCCCCTTTTCTGCTGCGTTTGGGGACCTTCTGTGGATTCTGTTTAGGCTCAGAACCTAGAGTTCACCCACAGGGGTGCGATCGTGGCGGGGCACGGAGTGAGCGGGACGCCCCCCGCCCCAGGGCAGATTTGGGAGCTGCGATCGTGGCAGAGTGAGATGCCCCCCGTTCCAGGCTCCCAAGGGCTGATTTGGGGGCTGTTGAATGACAGTTGAAGTGCTGAGCGAGGCTGCCTCTGGGAGGCCTTTTGATCGTCTGGCTCATTCAAAGTAAGGCGTTTGTGCCTCGGAGGCATGATCTTCTGTGACACGTGGGTTGTCTGGGTCATTCTTCAAGGTTTGCGGAATGCATTTCAGTTCATATCAGATGTACCGCCTCGAGGTTAATTTTTAAAGAAAATCAAGCAATTTGTCGAGTCATATAACCTGTCAGTTTGATTAATCTGGTAAAGGAGTGCAGAGATTGGAAATTTCAAACATCTGCGTGGGTTGTTTATTCTGTATACTAAATTGCTACAGTATGGCTCAGGTCTTATGGAAATCCTGAAAATAATGCCAGGTATTCATTTCTAGCCACCCTTCTAGCTGCCTGATAATCAGTCTGAATTAACCTCGTACTGTCAGTGTCTAGTGGTAGGATGGAACCCATCTGAGCCATAGCTCCCTCGTGCAATTGTGATACACTGCTTAGAGTTCTAGGCATTCTGGATAATGTGGTGAAGCAGGTGGGTACAGTCTACTCACAAGTAAGGTGCATACGTGTGACAGACTTCACAAGCCTTTACCTATTGGAAAGGAAAATTGTAAAGTGGTAAAGTCTTTTCACTGGGATGGTCAGGTGGGGTGCTGTGGGGGGCAACAGGAAGAGATTAGAACAAAGGAGTAAATAGCTGGAGAGGGGTCCTGGGAGCCGTCTGAGGGGAGCAGTTAACAGGTGGAAAGATGCCTGTGCATCTTTCATAGAGCACTGTCTCATAGGCATGATCATGGTGCAGAGAGGAGATCGTTGAAGATGAGACCAAAAAGTGGATGCAGGCTTGCTAGGCTATGATGAGAAGCGTGCCTTTTCTTTGAAGTGTGGTGTTTATGAATTGATTCCACACATTTTAAATGCTGGGACCAGTAGAGGGAGGAAATGTGCTACTGGCACAAATAGGGCAGTCTTGTTTTTTGTACCAGGGTTCGAACTCACAACCTCACGCTTGCCAGCCAGGTGCTTGCGCCACTGAGCTAAAAACCTGGCCCCTTGGCGCACATAGAAAGGAAACTGAGTCAAATTCCTATGGGTGTGAAGTGGGAGCCTGGTTGGTGTGCTAGAGTAGAGCTCGAAGGCTGGGCTGGCGGAGGCAGACTGAATGTTCCAGGTCTGATGAGGTCAGAGCGGTGGGAGGAGGGCTAACCGAGTTAGGGCTGGAGTTTTCTGAGTGAGCCTATGAGTCATCGGAGGTGTTCGATCAGGCCAGTTGGTGCCACTGCTTTCCAGTCAAGGGTCTGGACTTTCCTCACCAGTGTGGCCACTCACGGTGGTCTCCATCTTGAGAGTAGCCACTGTTCTTCAGTTGTTTAGGCCGGAAACTAGATGCCGTCCTCGGTGCCTCAGTTTCCACTCACAGCATGAAGCCTTCAGCTGGGTCCTTGGCTGTGTCTGCCATGGCTGCCTTCTCTTCCCATCTTCCCGCTTCCACCTTGTGAGGAAACACCTTGATCTGAGACAGCGCGTCAAGTTCCCGAGGAGTTGCCTTCCTTCATGCCGCGCCGCGCCGCGCCACATTCCCACTGTTGTTCTGATGGAAATGAAAGTAGCCCTGTTAATTCCCTCCACCTAACGGTCTGTAAACTTCCGTAGGCAGCAAGTTCATAAAATTAGGCTTTGAGAACTTGTTTACTTGCTCAGCTCTGCCCTTGAGGTATGAAAACAAATATGTAAAAAAATGAGTGTGGCTTAGTTTGCAGACTGCCTTTGGATCAGAATACACCATTGCATTTGGATTCCTCTTGCCTAGCATTGGAATGCCTTTTGGGAGGGGCAGGACTCGAGGACTGGTTAGCTGGGAGCAGTCTCTGTGGGATGTTTATTTAGTTTTCTGAAATGAAGCTAGGAAAGAAAAGATAGGATCCCTGCAGATCATAGAGAACCTTCAGTGGTGCTGACCATGAGGTTCTGGGTTTGTTTCTGCTGTGTTAAAGGGTGGTGGAGTTTTGCACAGTTAACACACCAGAGCTGTACTTGTGAATTGGGAGGGTACAGCTGAGTAAATTAAATTACTTTATTGATGCTAGTGATAATGAAAAGCCTTAATTAATTAACCTTTTTCTGAGTCGAGAATGGAGAAGATAAAGATTCTGCATGTGGGAAGATATTCTCAAGTAGGGAAAATGGCAGGTCCAGAGAGAGATGAAAAACTTGAGAAAGCATGGACATTGTGATGGAGGCAGGAGACCCAGCAGGCCGGGAGGGGAGGGCACGAGAAGTGCGGGCTGGACTTTGCAGTGACAGCGGGATGGGCTTTTCAGCCCTTTGCACATTTGTTTGTGGAGCGCGCTGCCTCTGCCACCTCCTTGCAGACTTCCACAGAAGCAGCAAGGCCTGGGTGCCTGAGCACAGAGTTCACAGTAAGGATTTTATGGGGAAGGGGTGGGATGGAGAGATAAGGGAAGGCTGTTCTGTTACTTAAAAGAAACTTTAAAGCAGCTGGAGATGGCGAGGTAAGACCAGCTGGCTGAGCATGTCCTTTGATGAGCCGAGCTTGGAGTGGTGAGAAAGAAGTGAACAGGGGTGTGTTACAGGGAATCAAGAGTGGAGACCGGGCGGAGGAAGAGCAGCCGCGGTGGGCAGTGGGTGGGTAACGAGTCGCCCTTAGGACTGACATTTGTGCGCTCACTGTTACTACCTCAGCATGAATTCAGCCTTCACATGAGCCCAAAACTCAAGAGGCTGTGTGCGGAGAGAGGATGCCCTGCTCACAGCGTCCCGCGCTGAGTTGGTTTACCAGGAGAGTGTGGGGGGCCTGTGCTAGGGAAGGCGCCCGTGTGAGTGCCAGGACTTCACTCTGTCTAACTGGCCGCGTTACGCTGACGAGTCTGTGTACTGAGTGGAGCAGCCTTTGACTTGCACTAAAAACTTCTCTGTCACGTCTTCCTCCCTTCTTTGCCCGGTAGTATAAGACATGCAGTGGTTGAGCAGGCAGAGATGCAGACGATCTTTTGAACAGTCATTGCTCTGTGAAGAAGCGTACAACCTGACGCTTTTCATCCACCCCTCCATGGTCTCATAGAGCACCTCGGCCTCTTTTCTCACCCTCACTGATTTCTGTGTTTTGTCACCCATCTGTAGCCCCGTGTCCTCGTGTTCAGTGGTCATATAAACCGAACCACCGTGATATGTAAATTAAGCAAGTCTTACGTTGTGTGGCTTTAAGTCAAGCTAGTTAGCTCAAGTAAGTCGTTTTATTTTGGGGGGCCCCTTTTGCTTGCCTTCACTGCAGAACACAGTAACTGTACTCTTGAGAATCCAGGTGGCAGTTTGAAACTGTCCATCCTGTGTGTCTACATTAGATTTGGTCAGTTTGCTGCTTGGCTGCCCTAGGGACAGGTTTCAGTTTATTATTTATAAAAACTTTTGCTGGATTCCCACTGATAGTTGCCACAAGTTTGAACTTTGTTGTTTCTAACTTGAAAAATATTTTCTCTCAGACATGTTTACGGTTGCTCTGTACAGGAATGCTTGTGAAACTGTAATTCCTTCACTGTCCAGTCATTCGTGTGTTTATCAACGGCATGTGGTTTGGCATACAGCCAGTAGAAGAGGCATGGGAGCTCGTTCTAGTTAGGGTTGTAGTCACGAGCAGAAGCAGCCTTCCTGTAAGTGTAATGTAATAAATTTTGGTGGGGGAGATCCCACAGTGCAAGAAGGTCAACTTTGAGGGGCTTGTGTGACCCCTGAAGGTGACAGAAGTGAATCTCAGTTCAAGTCTGGAAAATGACTTGAGAGAAAGGCGGTGGCGAGAGCAGTGATGTAGGCAGGGGACGCAAGTTGTGCAGAGGCTTGGAGGAGGGAGGTGGTGTGTGTTAGAGGAAGCCCAAGGTAGAGAGAGCTGTGTTTCCTAGCAGGAGGAGCACTTTCTGACACCTCCGTGTGAACATCTCTCCCACCCAAGTCCCCTTCAGGTTTCTCTCCTGCCTGAGAACAGTGTCTTCCCCTCCTGCTGGACTCCTGGCAGGACTGTGTGTGTGCTGTTGTCTGTCCTGACCCTTCAGCTGCCATCATTTAGGCCTCATTTATTACTTAGTCTCTGTCATTTCTATGTGCTCGTTGAAAGAGTAGCGCTTTGCATTCCTCAGGGAGCATGGAGCGAAGCCTGAGACGTCTTTGGTGACCACACTGAGGTGGGAACGTGAGACCAGGCCTGCTTTCCATGGTTGGCCAGCAGGGTTCCTGCACTCAGGGTGCAGGTAACTCAGGAGTGCGGTTATTATAGAGAAAGGGGGTAGAGCAAAATGAGGTGTGGAAAGCAGGTCTGAGCTTCCAGGCTGTTAGCGGAGTTGCACACATCGCGATTTCCCCAGCCATGTGCTGTGGCGGCACGTGTGAAGTGTTGTCTTCCGAGGACTTTATTGGGGTGTGTTGTCTAGGCACCCTCTGCCCACCACGTGCCCGAATTCCAGGCTCCTAGCAGGAAGGCCTGTGTTTAACATAAATCTCATTGCAGTTTGGGCTCAGCAGCCCCCTTGTATCACCAGGAATTGGGGAAGGAGCCTTTCAGAAATGTGGGTTTCTGGATGCCAACCGAAGGCTGCCCTGGTCAGCAGGCCTTTCTAAGGGATGAACTAAAGGCTGCTTGTTAACTCTGCTGTGTGCACACTTCGGCTGTGAGGGCCGTGGCCAGCTTGCAGAGATCGGGGTACTCCGGGAGCCCTGTCTTCCAGCCCAGAATGTCAGCAGTTGATCGAGAAACTCTCCTTCATATGTCCCCGAGTTTCTGCAGAAGATTGGTTCCCAGGCCCTCCTGGATACCAGGATCCAGTCTCCCCAGCCCCTCGCAAAATGGCATAGTACGGAATGGCATAAGCTGTGCACGCTCCTTCCTGTATTTAAGGCATGCCTTTTGGAGTGCTTTCAGTACCGAACACAGTATGAATGGTAAGTGAGTAATTGTCATGTCGTGTGGGAAATGATGAGAAAAGAGAGCAGATTCACGGCGCAGTGTTTCCCTAAGTATTTCCTCTCTCTAGTTGGTTGAATCCACAGACTGTGTTGTTTGTTCAAGCAATCTGTTTGTCCTCTTGTCCTCTATATTACTTGCTGCTTTTGCTAATGTGGTTAGGGAACCATTGCAGTAACTCTGCTGGCCATCTTTTATGTCCACCTGCTTTACCCCTAAACCTTGCTTCTCTCCATGCTATCTGGCCAGCCCCCGGCTCCTAGTGTATTTGTAGCTGTATTGATTTCACCTTCTGAAGGGAGGGATCGTGGGCAGGAAGGTTCAGGTGACGTTCAGGAGGGTGTTGGTGTGTGTGTGTGTGTGTGTGAGTGTGTGTGTGTGTGTGTGGGTGTGTTGGTTTGAGACAGGACCTCACCGTACAGTTCAGGTTGGCCTTAAACTCATTGTGTAGCCCAGGCTGGCCTTGAACTCGTGGTCTTCTGAGAGCGCTGACATTCCAGGCATGTACCACAGGCCAACAGGAGGCCACTGGGTAGATAAAATGAAAACAGTCTGTTACAAGCAAAGAGTAACTGGAGAAGAAAAAAGTCTTGAATAAGAGAGTAGGCTGTTCTGGAAATTGTGTCCATAAATTAATTAAGGCTGGAACTTGAGAAAAATCATCCAAAAGACAGAAAACAAAGCAAAAAAAAGTTGGCAGGGGTGGGGTGAGAAAGAGAAAAGGTCTGAGAATGAAGAAGAAATCACTTTTCTGGTAGATTACATAATACTGCTTGACCATCCATAATCTTAAGATGCAGTCTGCATTCTGGACTTGAGAGCTTTTCAGCTTAAGGGTGCTGAACCTGTAAATTCTATAAAAATTCCAAAATCAGAAAAGTTCTCGGATCTGAAACAGTTCTGGTCCCAGTCATGTCTGATAAGGGATGGTCAGTTGCAGAAGGGTCAGAAGTGGAGAGCAGAAATACAGAGGGAAAAGCAGTTCGCAAAGAAGCAGCGCCGCCACATGGCCAGGACGGGAAGAGCGCCTGGACCCTTCCTCCTCCGGGAACCTGGCCTTGGTGCGTTGGCCCTGAAGTGCGGGGAGGTACGAGGGGCAGGCGGATCCTGTGGACCCTTCTCCCGCCTCACCCTGCTAGGCTTGGGCTCCGAGGCTCATTGCTAGGGTCAAACGGTAGTTAACCCTGATTGGAAGAGTGGAGAGGGGCGCTGGTGAGGCTGGTGTACAGAGTACCCCGTATCTGACCAGATCTGAAGCGGCACGCAGCCGGGCCTTGGGAACCGTGTCAGCTGAGCATGGGAATGCAGCAGGTTGCTGTCTTTTCCCCCCTTTATAGTGCTGTTTTGTGATTTTAGGTTTTCATTTTATGAGAGCTCTATGGGAACGTAATTCGGGGAGACAACTGGACATACAGAATCTATAAAGACAGTCTGCAGCCCCAGCACCACCTGGGTCCCCTTTCAAGGACCCATTTTTGGTCGGTTGCACTTTGTGTGTTTAGTAAAGGACTTTCTCTGGCTGGGGAGTAGACTGGTATTGAACCAGGTGTTATCACTTTGAGGCCTCATTGTTCGATTGCTGTCTTTGGAAGGTGAGGATGGAGCCTTTCGGCCCCACGCTGTGCCACACCTGTGCTGTACCCCTCCCCTCCTCCTTGGTGTGCTTCGGATTTCAGCTAGATGAGTGTTTGGGCTTAACACTGGAGCTGCATATTAATTTAGAGCTAAACTCTGGTGTACATTATTTTTCCTCCTGGCATGTTTTTTCGTATCCCTTAGTTAGTAATTATAGTCTTAATCCAGTTTTTATCCTAAAAAAATTGATGCTTTGTGTGAGGGACTAGATTTAACACTTTGTGTGACCGTCCTGTTTAATACTAATAGCATGCCAGCTGTGTAACCTCTGTACGATTCAGTTTTCCCATCTGTGAAACTGGAAATTGTATTGAGGTTTGTGGCCACTCAGTAAAAAGTGGTGGTGGGACAGAAATTTGAAGCAGGTGTTTATGACTCTAAGAGTCTGAGGTCTCTTTGGTTTCTGGCATAGTGTTTGAACTTGTGGAATGACGTCTGCAAGAAAGGTGGGAAAGCTAAAACACAACAGTAAGAGCTTGGAAGAGTGGGAAGGAGAGGCGGTCATTTTTGTAATGCATCTCTCAGCGGCACCCACATCCACATCACGGGCAGCTCTGGGCCAGTGTAATGTAAGTCGGATCTCGCAATGCTCCCATCGCAGCGGGAGTGTGTGTCACCGTGTTCTGGGGAGACTCCCTCCTGCTCTGCTCTCCCCGGGTTCTGTTCACCTCTGTCCTGTCTTGCATCAGCTGTTCTCATGGTTTCCGTCACTCTTTTGGCAGAGCATGTTCTTATCTTGCAGTGCCTCCCTGAGAAAAAATGTCCGCAGGAAGGAGGTTTGTAGAAACGCTGAGGATTTGCAAATGTTTATTGTGTAGAATTTTTATTACTCCTTCAAAAGTTGGGAGACTTTGCTTTCTGGGTGTCTGGTTTACAGTGCTGATATTGAATAATTCCAGATTCTTTGTGTATGACTTGTTTCATTTTATGTTTCTTTGGGGATTTACAGATTTTTTTGCTTTTATCTTTAGTATTCTGAAATTTTGTGTTGATATTTCATGGTTTGGATCCTGTCTTGACTGCATATGGTTGATCTTTTCTTTTTAGTTTGAAAACGAGTTTCAGCTGTAGGACTTTTTCTTGAATATCAGTGTTTCTTTGGTGTCTCTGTCTTTTCCATATTGTCTTTCTGGGACTCTTAATATTGGGTCTGTGGTGTCACTTTCACTGACACCAAAAATGGTTGGGTTTTGTTCTTGCTCATGTCTGTGCCTATTTTCGCATAACTTCTGTCCAATTTCATGTTAAAAGTTTCTGAGTTTGATTCTGCTTTTCTATTCTAATTTAGCTGTAACAACATTACTCATATGTAATTTCCTATCATAAAACCCACACTTTCAATTGCCACGGCCAGTGGTTGTGAGTATATTCATAGGGTTGTGCAGTCATCACCACTCTCTTGACTGTAAAGCATTTTCATCTATCCTTTTAGAAAACTAGGGAGAACCAGCAGGCATAACCCGTCTTCTCCTCTCAGGTCCCCCTTGTGGTGGGCAGCTTGTGACACTCAGCTGAAATCCATCCGTGTGGTGCTGGATGTCGACAGCACCTGAGGATAGTTGCCAACAACGTAAACAGGAGAACTGGAGCATCAGCACACTTCTGCCTCTCCTGTGCTCACTGTTCTCCTTGTAGAGTTTGTCAAACTTCTTTCCTGAGATGAACTCGGCTATTCTCATCATCAGAGGACCTTGGGCCCTTGTTGCTGAGAATGGCTGTGGTTCACTTTGGGGGAGCTCCGGTCCTTACATGTGAGCATCACTTGCTGGCTCCCGAGGAGGAGGTGATGTGCTGTTCAATCTCCTGCAGAGCTTGTCACGTTAGCTTCCTGATATGAAATGTGCTGGTCTTATCATCAGAGGAGCTTGGGACTTCATGCTGTGTACTTTTTGGGGGAGCCCAGGTCCTTCCTTTGAGTGTCACTTCCTGGCTTCAGTGCAGATCCCTCAGTTATATTCTGCTGATGGGAATGTAAAATAGTGCAGCTGCTATCGACACTAGTTTGGCAGTTCCTCAAAATGTTAAACAGCTACCAATGATCAGTCACACTCCTAGGTAAGTACCCAAGAGAACTGAAAACAATATGCCTGCGTCTAAGTTATAAACTCATGTTTATAGCAGCAATATTCACACCAGCCAAGAAGTGAACCTAGTGGCCATCAAGGGATGAATGGATAGATGGGGTGCTACAGAGTCATACAGTATCCTTAGAAAATAGTAAGGAGTGAGTTACCTGTTACACTATGAATGAACTTGTAAGGTACTGTGCCAAATGAAAGATGCACTGGCCATAATAGACAAAGGGACAAAAACATGAGTGTTTACACATTGTGGACTACTTTTCTCTTCTTGGTGAGGCAAAATACCTGATGCCCAAAAGTAGGGCAAGAAAGGTTTATTTAGCTCACCTTTGTGGAGGTTTCAGTCCATAGTCAGCTGGCTCACGGGAAGGTGGCACGGCAGAGGGCAAGGAAGGGTTCGTGGTGGCAGAAGACGGCAAAGGCAACGAGAGCCAGAAGAGGGGCGAGTCTCTTTCCCTCCCTGGTTTTACATCAGGAATGGGGGCTGCTTCAGCATTAGAAAAGCTTTTGTAACTAATGCAAGACTGAGCAAAAGAGGGAAAAACACATTAGTATGTTTCCACTGGCTTGACCCACTGGTGGTACATGCATGACTGGCCCATCTAGTTGCCTGTACCACTGCGAGTAGAAAAGGATCTAATCATTTTTTATTAGTCTTTTTACTAGTAAAGTTAATTTTAAAATCCATAAATGAATAGATTGAGTCTAGTTGCTTGATTTTGAATAATTACTGCCCAAATGTAAACATTAATACTGTTCATACCAATTAAAATTAAAATTATTACAATAATCAACAAATTAAGATATTTCTATTCATGAATAATTTAGCAGTAATTCTCTAAATTTTAACATGGAAATCATGTAAGAACCCTGTTGCTCATGTATATAACATGCATTTACAACTGCCGTACCACAAATTAGCTGTTACAGTTTTTCATACCATGTTAATATTTTCCTTATCTGGTCAATTGCAGTATTGTAATCGGAGACCCCCCGCTGAGGAGTCCTGGATCTCCAGCCCCCCGGCAGTGAGATCCAGGAGTTACAGCTCTGTCGTGAGTGTGTGAAAACTAAATGGCTGCCTAAGCTTCTGTGGGGAAGCAGGCACTTACCCGAGGAGGTCTTTTAGCGAGCTGTGGGTAGAAATGTCCTGACTTGATCAAAGAGTGTCAGCTAAGTGGCTGGCGTACTGTAGAGCAAAGGCAGGCAGCCAGATTCAGACGGGGGTGTGTGTTCCCACTCCTGCTTCCTGCTGTGCTGAGGCTTCGGGGCAGGCAGACCAGGGCAGGCAGTGGCCGGAAGCCTGAGTGCAGGCAGAGGAGCACCGTGGCCGCTGGCGGGTGTCACAGGCCATGCACACGCAGGGAAATCTGCAGGTCAGGGGTCACTGCTAGATTTACTTTGGAAACCCTTTTTTAGCTCTTTGCATGTGTATTCGTAAGTGGCATTATTTTAAAAAGAGCAAATCCAGTATAATCAATAAACAAGATAATAATAATCTTGTATGTCTGTGTAAGAGCCAAGCAGGAAATGTGACAGAAACAGTAACTGGTAGCATTCATGCCAGTGACGGAAACAGATTGTCGTGGAAGAACATCCAGACTGGAGATGCAGAGAAGGGGAGCGGAGAGAACTGGAGCATGAGGGTGGAAACAGGCACGGTGATCGTCAGGTGTTCTGACTTCGTTGTGTGTTACCAGAATGCTTTGAGTCACTAGTACTGTTAGTCTGAATTTTCTTTTTCTGACATTCTTAGCAATACTTTTGTTCCAGACTGGCACAGTGGAAGAAAAATACATGTGTTCAGTGCCGTATAGAATCTAAAGGTTTCATGTTGTAAAACACATGAACAAATTTGTGCTTCAGAGTGCGGCTGGACGACTCTCTGTCCACCTTGCAGCTGTGGAGTGATCACCCTGCATTTTGGCTGCTGATGCTAAACTTACTTCCCGCTGCAGTCTCTGTGGTTAGTTTTGTGTAGGAGAGATTTGCTTTAAAGGCGGGAGTCACAGGAGTCTCTTTGTTGTCTTTTAGATTTTTGATAGTCTTATGGTAGACTATAGATAAATTCCAGAAGAACTGTAGGTATAAATACAGAAAAAGTAAAAGTGCCAAAATAACATGTAAACAAAGGCTTGGGGTCAGAGAGAAGCCCGGGGGCCTGCGTGGTTGGCACACGGTCACGAGTTCGATCACAGAACAAGGGAAGGGAAGAAACAACAGTCTAATACACAGGACGTTCTCAGGTGTGTGACTATTAAAAGGGTGTGTACATGGCGGGGATATGTACGCGCTATGTGTGTGCATGTACACAGATATGTATCCGTGTCTGTCTGTATGTACATTTTATACACTGGAGGTTGGACCCAGGGCCTCCGTCCTGAGCTGGATTCTCAGCTCATTTTTACTTTTTATTTCAAGACAAGATCTCACGGAGTTGCCTACGCTGGCTTCAAACCTGCCACCCTCTGCTCTCAGCTGTGCGAGCTGTGTGCCTGTGTGGGTATAGGTTAATGGTCAGTTGGCAAAAATACGTGTTATATTCATGACATTTGACGAGAGGTTGCTGTCTGTCAGATACTGCAGTTTCGAGGAAAAGTACGACCACACTAGTGAACAAATATACTAGCAGACTTACATTACTGACAGAAGGTTATGAACGTCCAGAAGTGGTTAGGAATGTTTCCCAGTGCCATTAATAAATGTCACTGACGAGGTCTCCTGACCTCTGGTCATTGGCATAGAGCACTGGCGAGGCAGCTCCCAGGACCCGGGGCGGGGGCTCAGAGCTCTGGGTGGTGGCCTGCTGTCCGGGGCAGCGCGGTATGTGTTAGAAGTGCACAGTCTCCCTGTAGTACCTGGGTTGGACTTTCATCCTCAGGGAAGCTGGAGGAGTCTGCTAAAGGAATGTGCAGGGAAGCCCATTCCCTGCTGTTAAGAAGTGGGAAAAGTGCTTAAAATTCAGTAGACAGCTGGTGCATTGATTACATGTGTTTCCCTGTGCTGGGACTGCTCAGAAATGTTACAGGAGTTTTGGCAAGGGCCAGGATTACTAGAGAACCCACACTTTTTGCTTTGTAGATCTTGACATGAGAGTTTTTTGTTTTAGCATGTGTTAGTATAACTGCAAAGAAAACGCATTGTAGTAACAGCGTAAGTGAAAATACGCTACCACGACCAGTTGAGTTATCTAGGAAAGGACGTCTGTGAGATACTCTGTAAAAATTGAACAGTCTGGATGATATTATGTATTTATTGTGAGAAGATTAGTGTGGTTATGTTTAAAACTCTGTAAGGGAGACAGAAAAGGAAAGACTCAGTTAAAGAAAAAATCAGTTTGTTTTTAAGTCTTAGGCACCTTTCAACTGTGTAGTAATAATATGTTTCTTTTCAAGCTGAGAGTAGTAATTTAAAGCCAAAATTTTCGTTGTTCCCTAAAGTATAATGCAGATTCTTATAAGATGAATTTTTTATGTAGTGTTGGCTTCATTTTAATATTTTGGTTTGCTTCACTCTGTTACTTTACTTTTATTTTTCTGTTTGTTAATTTTGGGTACTCTTACCTCCTTTCAGAAATAATGCAGGCTGACAGCTTCTGGTTAATAGTGACCTAAAGTAGTTAATGTGTGTTGTGTGTTGGACGCTGGTTCAGTCCCCGCCACAGAAGCATTCCCATGAAGAGGTTCGGGAAGAACATGGGCTGGAGATGTGGGGTGTGTGTGTGTGTGTGTGTGTGTGTGTATGTGTATGTGTTTACACACATAAATTATAGATTTACAGATTTCTGTTTTTAATATATGAAACCAGATGTTTATATTTTATAATAAACATTACAGAAAACAATTACATGTAAAGTAGTTAAAATATGAATCTGACTGTACTTTTTCTTTCAGAATTTAAATGAATATGTTGAAGCATTAATTACCTTGAAACAGAAAATTATCAATACCGAGTAAGTATTCAGTCGCATGCTTGGCAGACTCGTGTCCATGATGAACTGGTTATGCTGGGAGCCCAGAGTGGGCCTGATTCGTGGTGCTAGCCGTGCTGAGCACCTGGGAGTCTTGTTAGCCGCCTGAACGCTTGATGTGGGGCTCGAAGGTCTTCAGAGTAGAATCTGGGGCCAGTGGGCCATTGCTTTTGCTGTATTTGAATTTTCCTCAAAGCTCTTTTCTGTCTTAAGCATCTTCCTACCTTTACACTAGATGTGAGATTTTCTCACAGTCTTTATAGCCACAATATGAAATTTAATTATTTGTAATGGGCTTATGAATTTATAGGCTACGGTGCTACTTAGATGAGAAAGGTTATCATCCAAAAGCTCACCTATCAGTGCATTGCTTTGAAGAATTTAAGGTGATATATATTAATTCAGCATACATTTGTTGTTGGAAATGTAGGAAAAGAAGCTGCCTTGTTTGATTTGAAATGTGATTTGTAACATCGTGCATTTCCTACATTAAAATATAACCTAATTTTCTTTATTTCAGCAATCTGTTGACAGAATATCAGAAGAAATGTGATGATATCCTTTCACTTTTGAGTTCTGGATTCTTTTGGATTTGGGGATTTACTCACTGGTAGGGCCTGAGAGAGATGTGGAGCGTGTGAGGGAGACTTTCCAAAGCCGCCTGTAGAAGGCAGTGTTTGGGCTCCGGAGGGGGAGCGGGCAGGGCCTCTCCCAGCCACTCACCGCTCCCCGCGCGCGTCAGTGGGGCCGAGTGATGAGCAGGGAGACCTGGCAGCTGGTTTGTTTCTGTCACTGCTTCTCGTTCTCTTACGGTATTGTCAGCTCTTTAAGGACAGGTTTTCTCATTTGTCCTGAGGACGTGATCTCCGGGTGTCTCCTTGAGCTTAGGGACAGCATAACTGGAATGGCAGGAAATACACCGTGGACACCTTGAAAACGTGGGGAAGCGGACTTGCTCGTTTCCTTGTGATTTGTAGAGTACCGGTGTGGCTATCCAGTGTCTGTTAACAGAGACTGCAGTTGCATATTCCCGGCCAGATCTGGGGGACTCGGGAGACTCGCAGGCTTGGTGAGCCGGCACCTGCAGCAGGGCGGCTTGGTTGGATGCTTTCCTGCCCGGGGGACAGGGATGTGGAGCTGATCCGTCTGGATCTTCTGGTGGTACCACTTGCTTTACTTGCAGTCTGTCCCATAAAAATGTAAAATTTCTAAAAAATAAGTGCACGTACCTGGAGAGGTTGGTGGAAGTGTGGCTTTGTGTCCAGCGTCAGGACGCACCTTTTGTCCCAGCAGTCCAGTCCCAAGACCTGAGGCAGACACAGGCCTGCTGCAGCGTCACTGTGGGCAGACCTGGACGTGTGTGTGTGTGTGTGTGTGTGTGATTAGACTCCGTCTTTAATTATTAGACTTAATAATTAGGTTTACTTTTGGTATCTAAACTTTTATATTAAAAGGTAGCAGTCATTTGAATTTTTCTATGATTTTGGAGACTATCAATTCACTTAAATATATGCCCCTGTCATTACGAGGGCATTATTTTTAATTGACTATAAAAGCTGTATGGAAACAATTATGACAGTTACTTTTAGGTAGCTAAATAGGAAAACAATTCCAGTGTGAGATGAGTATTTCATGCCTTTTGAGAGAATGATGTAAACTTTGAGAAGTATACATTTAACCTAGCAAGAAAGTTAGTAGTTTACTCTCCTAAACATTTTAAGTAAACAGTAGCACAGTTATTCTAAAGAGTCGAAACTCTCAGTTATTGTTGAATTGCAGAAGTTCCCATGGTGTGTTATGTGACCTCAGCCACAAGTGTGTGCTGACTGTTTAAGAGTGCACTTGGCATTTGCTGCAAATATATATTGATTATACCTCAGAACTACAGTTGTTTGCCCTACAACTTGAGGTGCCAGTGTCAAAGGTTTAACAGGGCTGTCTTAGATAATTTGGTTCTTTGGTATTAAAGTGGCAGTAGACTTCAGTGTTTTTTTCAAGATGAAAAATTATTTCTTTAAGAACTGCGCAGTAACAATTCAGCATTATTTCAGTTCCTTTTAAATTATACTGCCCATTGTATTGTCTGTTTACCTTGTCTTTCTAAAGGACAGGGAATATTATTTACCAGGGATTTATTTGAACTGTGCGCTGTGGAGACTGCTCGGGTTGAGGATGAATGAAATGCTCTTCTTGGCTCTGAGTAGCAGCAGAAGCTGCAGCCAGCTGCTTGCAAAGGCACCCACCGCGCTCGATGGGAATGTGGGCTCTGGGAGGGGAAGCTGAAGGGAGTTACTGTTCCCGTCTCCACGTGTTTCCCTCGCAGAAAGGGGTTATCAAGCTGTGGAAATTATAGGAATGTTGATTTTTGTAGTTTTCTTGTTCTTTGCTTATTTTCTCATTACTTGTATGTAGTCCAGCATGGGCTCTGTAAGTACGTAAGTAAGTAACTCTTGTCTGCTGGAATTACTCTGGAGACGAAATATGAAGGACCAGAGATTCTGACATACAGAGATGGGGCGTTTTGTATTAGTTTCATATTGCTTTGTCTTTATTCTTATAATCTTAATCACATAATGTATTCCCAGGCCTTTTTGACTAGATATTTTGTCTTTGGTTTATATGACAGAAATAGGAGTAATTCAGTAAATATATTGTCATTGTGTTATAGATGGGGCCGTAAATATTTTCTAGGATTTACAATCTTACCTGTGTGTACATTGAGCATGGAATCTTAAAAGTAATTATACAGTGAATTTTATCTCCAAACAAGTTTCCCAGGATTGAGTTTTCCTTAATAAGCTTCACAGCTGCAGTTTGCAAGAAGGTAAGCCAGCCCACGTGCTCTCACCTGATGAGATAACTTTTGCAGTGCTTGATTTGGTGTGGATTCATCACACCAGATAGTCCAAGATTCTAACAAAGAGGACCAGGACTGACCCTTCACAAAAACTGTTGCCTTGGTGCATGTAATAAAATAAGATTAGGGTTCTCCTAAGTATCAAATCATTCACATGAATTTATTGCTGAGGCCTTAAGTTACCGCCTGTTGTTTGACTCTGCAGTAACTTTCACTGACTGCATTGCTCTTTACACCTTACTGTTCTCCGCTGCTGTTAACCTGTGTGAGTTGGAATGCTTGTAGTTGTCTATCCTGTGTTGTTTTAAGCAATTTAAAATCGACATTCTTAACATTTTAGCATGTTTTATGCTCTGATTGCATTTATCACTTATAAGAAGGCATGATAAACCAAATCAGAAAACTGCGTATCACTTGGTTTGAATAAGTAAGTTCGAGATTGGAAGTGCCCAGAGGTTTGGCGCACAGTTTTTGAACAGCTTCCCTAGCAGGCTGGAAGTGTGTCATACTTGTTTCTGAATTGCTTTGTGATATAGTTTTGTCAAAAGTAATCTAGTATCGAAATCGTGTTAATAATAAATAGAAGGAATGTATTTGAAATGAATTTTTAAAAATTTTGTCCCAAGTTAAGAGTCTCAGATCATGAGAACATGTATCTAATGTTCAGTGTACTTCTGCATAATGTCATCGATGCATTGTCCATTTTCAGAGAAAACAGCACCCTGCATCACCAAGTGGAACAGATGCTTCAAAAAATTTCTCCTCTGCAGAAATGTCAGGAAGAATTGGGATCTTTAAAAGCAGAGCTGGAGGAGAAAAAGGTAACTAAAATCATTTTCTTAGAGAAGTCTATTGTCAGTAGGTTAGGATGGACAGGAGACTTTCCACGTCTTAACAGAGGGATGAACTCTGTTCTTGGACTCTGCTGTCTTAGAGAACTCCAGACTGGTTGACGGAAGTCTTCAGCAGTGATCAGCCCTTCCTTACTGAGTGACATTTGATGCTTTTGAGGGATTAGTAGTGAATTTTTATGGTTTTATGTGTCCTGCATTAATTCTTTCTCACATTTCCCCTTCTGTAAGTGTGATATAATGCACAAAACTTCCGATTTACAGGTAGAGGATCTGTGTGCAGGACCCCGATCGCCCTCTTTGGTTGTGCTGGTGTGTGGCTGCCAGCCCCGTGCTGAGTGAGACCCTTGAGGCCTCTGCTCTGGTGATTCCGCCGCCTCTGCAGACCTGTGTGACCCTGCCGGCTTGAGTGCATCCTGTTGACAAATCTCTTACCTTTTCTGTGATCTCATTCGATCCTTTGCGGTTTCTTATGTTTATGAGAGGTGCACAGAGTGTGTCTGCCAATAGTGTCACATGCCCTTGCATGTGGGCTGTTTCCTGTACTTGATGATAAGTTTGCTTTACCTGAGTGACCCTTTTTACCTTGTAGTGGAGCCCTAGGAAAGACAGCACTAAAACATTAGCCTTTAATAGAGACTATTTTCCTTCAAAATCAAGTTGTTGAGAAGTAATTTGCTTAAAATGCTGTGTTTGCTTTTAATATAAATTGTGTTTTTCTCTTTATAGTAATCTTAAAAGAGTTCACTTTTGCAGCTTTAGTTTAATTCTACTGTCAAGTATATTTCATTAAGAATCTGGTTGTACTCATTACAGTGTTTAGTGAATATTAGTCTGGGTTCCTGCACAATTTAGGTATTCATTTGCTTAATTTCATCATTAAAGTTTGGTAATTTAGCTATTAAGATCAAAACAAGTCCAGCCAGTGACCAGCCAGTTTCATCTGAGCAGTGTCTGTGTTTCTCTTTTAGAACTCCCTAAAGTTGTATCAGGATACTCACCAGGAATACGCCCGGGTAAAGGAAGAATGCTTGAAAAGTGATGCACAGTAAGTAGCTGGGAAATTGCTGTAGAAGTAGAGTCTTCGTGTTTGACACTGGACAGTCCACAGTGCAGAAGTGTTTCTCTTCACTGGCTTTGTTGGCTGTCCTTAGCTGTGCGACCTTGAATTAGTCTGTCCATCTTGATTCCCACCTCTATGAAATGGTACGGAGACCTGCTTTGGGGGTCACAAAGACATCCGTGAAAGGTTTAATGTCTGTTGCACACGTGCATGCTTGCACGTATGTCTGTATAGAAGCATAGCTGTTGGTTCCTTTCTTTGTGCTAACAGTGTAACATGTACCAGATGGGATGGGTATCCTTGTTACAGTTAATTAAAAGGATATTAAATACAATCTAACCATTACTTTGAGGTTTGGTACCATATGTTCATGATACTTAGCAAGCAGATACACTCAAAATGTGAGCACTGCACACTCAGTAGTGTAATGTGGGTGTGTGGCAGGACACTGTTCCTCAGCAAGTTACCTGCTTGTGTAGACTTTCAGGAATCCCCTTGAAAGCGATGGCAGCCTCAGCTGCTGCCTCCCATCATGGGGTGCTGTGCGTGCTCACCCCACATACTGCTGAAAGGTAACGCGAGTGAGCAGATGCTGGGCTCGCCCTTGGGGTCCATTGGCCTTAGCTAGCTTACAGTGGGCTTGGAGACTTTTCACAGCTGGGCCCAGATGTGCTGTGCAGTGGCCCATAGCTTGTTTCTCATGTGCAGAAGACAGGTTTCTATGAATTCATTTCAGAAATGCTGCACATTATTTGGTATATTCCATCATCAGAACAGTGGCTGATAATTTCAGTTGTTAACACGTGACACTAATTTTGACTGCAAGTTTCCGTTACACATCTCTCAGGAATTATGTATGCATCATGAATTTGTCATCTTTTTACGTCACTCTGTTTTGCTGTTTAACTTATCTAATTCTTTTACTAGAAAGAAGAAACTGGAAGCTAAGGTGAAGAAGCTGGAAGGTGAGTTACACCATTGTCACCGGGCTCGTGGGAGCCACTGGCCACTGTGTGAGTCCCCCGGGTCCGTGTGAGTTTGTGAACTGGGACACTGACGTGACTGCAGCTGGCCGGGACTTCCCTGGGGGACTTCAGCCGGATCTGTGAGCGAGGAAGGGCTGCACCTGGTTCATGCCTGTCAGTCCTCCAGCCAGGACATGCAGTGGGCGTGGCCATACCCAAAATAGTGCTGCACTCAGACTAAGAGCAGCAGTTCATGAAATGACTCACTTGGAAACCTGAATCTTGAGGGGCTTTCCCACTTTCTCCCAGTGAAACAGGTGATTACTAGAAAGGGCTGCTGCCTTTAGTGACGAGCAAGGGAAACATTTAGACAGTCACGAGGCACCCACCGAGGGTTGCGATGGACTTCCCGCCACTGGGGCTGCTCCTTTTCTCCCTGGTCTCCCACCCTGCGCTGTCACTTTTGGGGCTTTCGATCTGTGTGAGTGGGCTGAGTGGCAGAAAGGCTGCACGGCAGCCCGCTGGCGCCTCCCGTGCCAACTGGCAGCCCTTTCAGGGACCAGGAAAGGTCATGGCCTTCCTGTTTGCTCTTCCTCCCCGTGTGATGGGCAGATCTGCACACAATACGAGGTGGAAGCACAGGCTCTGCTTGTGCATCCTTGCACGCGCTTTTCCTGCTGGTGTGTCGGGGCTTCTGTAGCTGGCCCACCCAAGCATCACGTGGATGGTGGCTGCTTCAGAGAGAGTGTGTGTTTGCAGGTGCAGGGTATTGAGTTTAAATTTAGTTGCCTTAGCCCATATAGAGTTGTAGCTGCTGGCAGTATCCTGTCACTGATTTCACTGACTATTTTGGTTTTAAATTTGTAAGTGTCTTGGGAATTTCCCTCTGGTTGATTTTTACAGGGACATTAACAGGGGGCAGTGAAGCAGCACTACTGTGCTCTTTCTGAGCCTGGTCATCTTCACTCCTCTGGGGATGAGTGTCTAAGGGGATGCTCCTAGAGACCTGGTGAAGTAGATGCCTGTGAGATATATGCCAACTTTTGCAAATAGACTTCCCAGGAAACAAAATGCTGCCAATGTGTTTCATGTAAAAATGTTTTCTTCATAGATGACTCCGCCTAATAAAGAATATTGAGGAAAGAAATACTCAAGTGTGTTAAATAAGTCGGGAGGGGATCACTGCTATGGTGTTTCAGGAGTTTGCTTTTCTTAGCAATTGGGTATGAGCAGATGTAGGTAAAGTCAGGACTGATCAGATTCTTAATAGCATGTAGACTGGTTGGTGCCTCCAAATCAAACACTGGGGTGAACTGGAAAAGAGCCTAAAGAGTTGATCTCTAATGCAGCTATTTGCAATTAGGATAAGTTAACTTGTTGACAGGAATTCTGAGAAAAATAACAGTATCAATAGCAAACATCAAGAAACTTGTTTTCCACTGGAGATAAAGAGGAGGGTATTAACAAATTCCAGTATGGTATCGCTGGGAAGGAGAAGAGTAGGCCGGCAGGGGGATCTCCCTCCTGCTTCCTGCATTGGACTCTCTCCCCTGGCTCGGTGGCAGCACTGGGGTTGCTGTGCCTCTTGCAGGGGACCCGGAAGGCTTATAGTGGCTTGCAGTGGAAGCAGCATTCCCGCTCAGAGCCTGTGGCATAGGATAGTGAAGAGCAGCAGCTAGCTGATACTTGTGACATTTGTTGCAGAGTTTTAAGAAATAGAAAAACTTACAATAGGTTACATTTTGGGTAGCTCATTAACCATCTTGGTAAAGTTAGTAAGTCATTTCTCTCTTGCTTTATTGCACTTTGAAATGCAGAGGCTGCTGTCAGGCAAACTCAGGACTTCAAGCAACTGAGAAATGAAAAGAAAATACTTGAAAAGGAATTTAAGAAGACCCAGGTACTGGATAAACAGTGCCCACATACGTGGCATCCTGGCTCAGGGTGGGAGTTTCGTGCAGCAGCAGCTGCAGCGAGAGCTGGGCACGAGGCCCTGGTAACTGCTGTCACCGCGTGCGCCTCGTGAGCCTGCGTGCTGTGACCAGGTTCAGGCTGCCCTCACGCATTGTGAACACTGCTGGTGCTCTGTTTCCACAGGAAAGGCTGGACGAGTTTTCTAGACAGAAAAGTGAAAAGGGTGAGTTTTCAGTTAATGCTTGCTTTAAAATTGTTTTGAAATTCATTGTTTTTAAAACTGTTTTTCCCATACATTTTTAGAATTGAGACATATTGGAACACAAATTTCAAGTGATTCGTGTGGAAGCATAGACAAAAGTAAGTGTGCTGCAGCTTTTGTTTCAATTCTCTGTGTTCCCTTCCCAGGTTTGGAGGCCGCACGTTGCTCCACATAGTTATCAAAGTGCCCGCGCTTAGGCCGTGCTTTGCCTTAGGAGTGATGGGTTGTTCAAGGTGTCACTGGACCCACAAGTTTTCTGTGGATAAATTAAAATACTTCATAAACAATTGTGTTTTTATCTCACCCAAGTGTTGATTTTTCTCCAAGTTAAAATTATTAAAACCTTGAATTATCAAAACCAGTTCCACATTGTCTCCTGAGAATTCACCTTTACTCTTTTTTTTCTCATTTTAATTTTTTTAATTCAGAGACCCTGTTCATGTTTTTACTTTTCTGTCTTGAACAGTTCGCAGCTTTCCCTGCCCAGGCGTCCCTAGTGAGAGTGTGACCCGAGCTTTCGGCTGGGCGCTCCCCACAGCGCCCCCGTGTGGCAGTAGGCTGAGCGGCAGCCCTCTCCTCCCCAGCCTGCCATAGTGCACAGTGGAAGGGAGTCATCTGATTTCTGGAGGAGCAGGTGGGCTTCAGGCCTGCACCTTCAGAGCGGGCTCTTGCTGTTCCCTGTCCTTAGGTTGCCTAGAACTCGTTACATGAAATCACTGTGGGTTCGGGTTTACCTGCCCTGACGATGAGGGCAGCGCTGCTTCCTATTGCACATTGCACTTTCCGGAGTAAATGCGTAGATGGAGTCGGCCGTGGACTTGGCAGGTTAATTCTTGGTTCTTAACTGTACCGTTAATGTTTCACTTGTGGGAGAAATTTCGGCACTAGAGTGAATAGTTGACTTCAGTTTTGAAAAAGTCTGTCTCAGTGCCACTTTGTGTTTTTTTCCTTTCAAATTTCAAAAAAAAATGACCCGAATTATAAAAAGAACAGTTCCCCTGTGTACAGATGGTGCCAGCAACAGAGAAAATTAACGAGGAAGACAGGGAAGGTGACAGGGACAGAGCAAATGCAGCTCTCGGTGTAGCAGGCATCCGCCCAGACCTGCCGCGTTCCGAGTCGGCGGGGAGGGAGTGGGCGGAGGTCCAGGACACTGGCGTCCACGGGGTCACGGTGCGTGCCGTGCAGGCTTCAGGAACTGTTTTTGGCTTTTGCCCACAGACTGTGACCCAAGTGTAGTTTTCTAAAGTGTGAGCCACGCCGTGATCGGCAGCCAGGTGCCCTGCGGGTGTCAGGTGGTCACTGGGGCTGCATTGAGGGGCAGCCACGCCCTTCCCTGGAACTCAGGGATGTACATCCTCTTTCAAACTTCTCACAGTTGCACTCGCGCAGCACCACCCCATCTAAACAGGAGGTTCTGTAGGGTTACGAAACTGCACCTCATTCATTATCAAATAACGCAGAGTACAGGCTGAAAGAGAAATCTGGCTACTAAAGATGTTTTTCTTAAACTCTCAGCTAAAAATACTAAAAAGGCAGTGATGAGAAAGGAACCCCACACATGAAGACTACAGAAAACTGTTAAGTTACAGACGAGGTGAGTGTCCGAGAGTGACTTGGAATGTTCAGGGAAAGGCTAAGTGCCTACTCAGGCTGCTGCTGGGGACTGAACCAGCTGGGAGTGGTGAAAACTGAAACTTCGGTGAACTCATTGGATAAGCTGACTATGGAGTGGACAAAGAGAAGATCAATTTAGTAAGCTGCAAGGTTAGAGCTTGAGAAGTTGTAAAAGAGACAAAGGGTATTAGAGAAATTATGAGAATTTGAAGGGTGACTCCACATCTCTGTAGTCATCTTTAGAACTTCTCAGGTGGGAGGATCAGGACTCCTAGGAAGGACTTTTCCTGGCAGAAACAGACAGATGCAGTGTTCACTTTAAAGGGCCCCCGTGGTATGCATGACTTGTGTGTACCTGCTGCCTCTGACGTGTGGGCAGGGAATACCCATCTAACCAAATGAGGCAGAGATTTGAATGCAGTGATGAAGGGTTCTAAGCAGTGCGGACAGTAAAGCAGTAATAGCAGGCAGGAAAACAGCTTTACGCTTAGAAACAAGTTCACATGGATTAAGAGAGAATCTTGAGGCTATTAGAAGTGCAGTTCACTGGGGCTGGGGATTTAGCTCAGCGGCATAAGCGCCTGCCTTGCAAGCAGGGAGTCGTGAGTTCGATCCCTGGTACCGGTAAAAAGGAAAAAGACAAAAAAAAAAAAAAGAACAGTTTACCGAGACGGCACCGCTGCAATGGACCTAAGACTGTGAGGCTGTATCAAGCAAACCAAGCAACACAAACCGGGGGTCCAGAGTAGATGGCCAGGTCTTTCTTTGTCATGAAAGACTTCAGTGTATTTTTCAGAAATGAGAGGAGAAAGTAGACAAAGGATGGGATTAGAAACTTAGTTGCAGGGTTGATGATTTACTTACGATTCTGTGAACCACATACCTTTAAAATAACTTCAAAATTTATGAAAGTTGGATAACATACAACAGAGTGTCTACGACTTAATATGAGACAGGAATAAAAGTCCTCACTCCCACTTGATGTGGGCCCTGAAGCCAGTGGCTGGGCCTTCACAGTGCTGGCGGGGTGGCTGGGAGGGAGGACACCCCGCAGCGCCAGCCCCGCAGACACTGTGAAGCTGCACTGGAGTCTGTCTGAAGTCCCCAGTCTCATACTGAAACACAACAGGCAGCTGAAATGGATCATTTACTAGGAAAACATGCTGAAATCGATTGTGAATAATTGTTGCAAACTTGAATAGAAAATAACCCTGGAGGAATTTTTAAAATGATTCTGACACCATAATTGATCCAGGTGTGTATGGTTGTACCCTTTAAAGACTTCAGTGGAAACCGGGTGGGGGTGCATGCCTGTGATCCCAGCACTTAGAAAGCTGAAACAGGATGATTTCCACAAGTTTGAGGCCAGCCCAGGCCTGCCTGAATTACATAGCAAGACCCTGTCTCAAGTAACAGCAATGCAAACAAGGCTTCAGTGAAAAACTAGTGTGTGTGTGTTTTTTAAAGCTGCATGACATTTTGTCTTGTTAACATTAATATCTGCAGAAACATTTTTATTGTCAGTATAAAAATCAACAAGTTTATTACTTTTCCAAGTTCATAGCACTTTAATCAATGTGATCCGCTTCTGTGTTGCGTGGCTGCGGCACAGGAAGTGGGTGTTTCGGATGTGGAGCGCAGTGCTGCTGTACAGAGCAGACGTGCGATGGTGTTTGTGTGAGGCCAGATCTTCTGGTGCGGTGATACCAGCGACAGAAGCAGCCCCTTAACAAGAAGGGGCGATCAGAATCCCCTGAACTCAGCCAGACAATTCTGTCCCATCTTCTGTGAAGATCCTAAAAGGTTTCTCTGATGCCAAAGAACCTGGACAATGTTATCAGAGTGCACCAAAGGGAACACAAGTTGCCCTGACAACACTACGACTCAGGCAGAGAGCAGGCGGCCAGAGCAAGCTCACCGCACCCCTGCAGCCTTAGGTCTGTCCTGGGAGACGGACTAAGTTCATTATTTTAGAATGAAAAAAGTATGAGTGTTGCGTCCATTCCTTTTAGGCTAGCGTCACCCTGCAGTAAAGTATGACTGACAGGGAACTACAAAACACTCAATAAAATTTTAAGGAACCCCAGTTTTTATTATTTAGAATACAAATCCCAACTTAAGGATTATGTAAGGGTATTACCACTGGTTCAAGAAATACCACGTTCAGCTCAGCTCGGCACCTATTTTAAATTAAATTAAAAAATAGTAACTTGGAGAGCTAATAGGAAAGGAAGAGTTTAGGCTTCAGAAAAGTCTGTGACTTTTGTGTGTCACGCTTTGACAGCACTGACCCATGCAGCCAAAGGAACAGCAAACTAGCATCATCGGGTTAAGGAGCAGAAGGCAGAGCTGTTTGTGATGTGGCCACGCAGGGCACCCGGAAGCCAGGACTGGAGTGTGGCAGACATGCGGCAGAGGGCGTGAGCTTCTGCAGCGGCCTGGGACCTGGGACGGCCCTGTCGGGAGGGTGGCAGAGCCTGACCTGGCCGTGTCACAAGCTCCCCAGAGCAGCATGCAGTGCCCTGTGAAACAGCCCAGAGGCGTTCCAGTCCCTGTGGCAGCTACATACCCGACCTGGCAAACTCAGAGCTCGCAGATGGGGCTCTTTCCTAAATGCACCTGCAACTGTAGCTCATAGTCTCACGACAAACCCTGGAAGAGTTTTCTGTGGAAAAAACAAGCAGTAGTGAAAGTTTATCAGGAGGAAAAGACATGCTGGATAGTGAAATTTTTAAAGAGAGAAGAACTGAGCAAAGATCATGCCCTACCAACATAATTATCAATATTAACATTAAAGAAGTGTTATTCGTGCAGAAACTGACAATGCAATGGCTTGGCAAAGTCCAGAAATACTCTTTAGTGCCTTAAGTTTTGATAGTGGAAACATTTTAAAAGATTAAAGGGAGGTATACAATTCACTTAATGAAATTTTATCTTTGCAACTAAGTTACGCAGCTACACTTGGTTTTTTTCTGCTTTATTGGGGATGGATCACTTTTTTAGGTGGGTCCAGATCAGAAGTAATGAGTGCTTATTGGATTAGGCATAGCTCTGGTTATTAGACTCCTGAAACTTGGAAAACTAACTTCTTTTCTTTTTTTTTAAGGTGCCTTGTTTGCTGCTTTGGGTATACGTAATAAGCAGGGAGCCTGGTCAGGTCATTTAAGCACAGGGGTGTACAGTGTTTGGAAGCAGGCTTTTGGATAGGTTATACCACACTCTAGATGAGCTACTGGGCCACAGAGTGCTGGAAACAGAAGTGGATGTTCCTCACACGGTGATAAACAGGTCGATTTGGATTAGGAGAGGATGCAAATGTCCTCCTGTTCAAAATTATTCGTAACTACCCTCCACATTGGTGCTGTCCCCTTTCTGTGGCCTTCATTTTTGGAGTGATACAGTTTGCCATCTTCAGTAGGACTACCCTATTTTAAAAAATCTGTGATTGATTGGAAATATTTTAGCTTAAAATGTTGACCTTTTCATTAAATACCAATTTTAATAAGTGTTTAAAGGTTAATTGAGAAATTTAGAGGAAGCGAAAACAAGAATTTGAGGTGGATTACAATTTCTCACTATTTAAAGCTACTTTTAGTTGAATTTTACTTGGTGTGAAGTTTTTTATGTATATTTCAGCAGAAGCCATACATACTTATTTTTTTGTGTTTTTGCTTTGGAAAGTGTTTTTAGAATTTGCTTGAAACAGCTTTAAAACCCTAGTATAGTAGTGTCTTGAATTTCACTGGGGCTTGCTTGATTATGTTGGCCTTTGGAATTGATAGTAGTAAGTTAACTCTTCTAGGAATCTAGACCCTTTTGAAAACTGACAAGAATTCCTTGGTTCCAGTGTCTTTAGGGAAGCGGGTGCTGCCCTGTCCGCCCTTGTCTTGTCTGTGTGCGTGTCCTGTCTGTGTCGGTACCTGCACGCTTTGTCTCTGTCCCATCTGCCCTCAGGTGTCTTCATGGGTTTTCCCCGGGTTGGTTCAGAATGGTCAGCTGGTCATGTTTCTGACAGTGTCATCTGACTGAGGGATGCTTCTCTGCTGATCTAATAAAACATGTGGCCCCTGTCCTCTGTATTGTACCTTGTGACTGTGTCTTCCCTCCTCACGTCATAGCACTCTGGGGAAATGTGTTGTCCCTTGCAGAGATAAAGCTGACAAAAGCCTTTAACAACAAACAAATTGGTTCTTCTGACGGTCCCCTTGTTCCCCTGCACCCGGGTTGAAAAGCTGTATTGAGTTTACGTTCAGCTAACACATCGCACACCTTTCTGTCCGTAACTGCGTTGTGCGCTTGGTGGAGGAGAGGAAGCTGCCCGGTTTTCTGAGTCCCCAGTATCCTGCTTACGCGGGGTTGTGTGTGGGCATTGTGCGCTTCGGCCAGGTGGCACCGCCTGACGCTGCCTTCTTTCTCACAGGGAAAGTGAAGCTGCTGCTGAAGGAGCTCTGGCTCTGTGTGAACTCGGCGCGCAGGCTGCCCGGCGACGGCCGCAGACGTGCCCCAGGTGAGGGAGACGCGCTTCGCACGGGCCAGCAGACGTGCTGACCGCAGGGGCTGCAGCCTCTGCCCTTTACTCTCAGGATCCTGAGTCTAAGGGAATGAGCTACGCACTTCTAACTACACAAAAGTGCTTTTCCTTCATGGTGACCTCCAGCTCAGCAAGCACATTGCGCTTTTACTATTTCAATGCAGCGTTGATCAGTACACTCAAAGAAAGCAGGACAGACACTTGAGACCGTCAAGCAGGTGAACGTGGAAGGCAGAAGGATGTGCTTTTTAAAAAATCGTTCAATGAGTTTGATGGCCTACGAGGATTTTGACTAAGTTCTCATACAGCTTGCCAGTTCCCGTGCTCAGAGGTCGTTCCTTGCACTTAGACGTTACGGAGATTGTCGGCTCTGTTGGCATTGGTAGAGCGTTCAGGGTGTTAGATTTGGAAATAGATGTCAGCCACTTCTAAAGGAAAGAAAGTCAACTGACTTCCACAAGACTGAACTATTTCCTAGTTCACTTTTTGTTATTGTACTAATTTCTTGAGGTGCCTGCTGCAGCCTAACATGACGGCACATGCCTATAATCCCTGCACTCTGGGAAGCTGAGGCAGGTAGATTGCAAGTTTGAGCCCAGCCTCGGTAGCTTAGTGACTTAACGTGACCCTATGTTGAAAATCAGAAATGCGGTGGGGGGGGGGTGGAGAGTAGTTCCCCATGAAGACCCCCAGGCTTATTCCCTACTACTATAATGAGTAACTAGGCAAACGAGTAAATACACAGCATGCAGTCAAGCTGGCTGCAGTGCGCCTGCAGCGGCCACGGAGGACCAGCATCTGTGGAACGCTGCAGATGCCTCATTTCTCGAATGTCTCCTGGATTCGGAAGACGGTCCCCTTAATGGCAAGGTGCTAATTCTTACCGAGGCTGCATTCAGACTGGCGAAGAGGCCTATGTGTTGAGGTTCTTTTAATCAGATTCTCGCCCCCTCCCCAGCCTGTGGTCTTGGAGGATGGAAACAGTGCCGGGGGGTGGGGGGTGGGGTGGGAGGCCCTCCCTGGCACCTGCGGCTGCGCCCTCAGTCCTGCAGTGTGGATGTGTCTGCTCCCTGTGGATGTGGGATTGCTCCCTGCATGCATAGCCGGGGGTCTTTTCCGTCTGCTGTGCCAGTCAGTAATTATATCTGAAGCACTTTTATGCTGTTAAAGATGCTATGAGAAAGGCCGCCTGATGTTTTTATTTAAAAACAAGCTTTTAGTGGCAAATTTGTTGCGTATGTTAACTTCCACAAGGTAGAATGGAGATCGTGGCATCTTTGGAATCTTACTACACTGTGAAATGCTTTCCTTTTTTATTTTTAACCCGTCATATGAAGATGTTACAAAATTAGAGCAGAGAATTTACTTTTCCAATTTTTTTAATATTTTCCATTACTGAGGCTCAAAACCAGAACATGTGGTAGTGTTCTCCTGTGAGGTAAAGATAGACCCCTTGTGAATTTCACAAGTTTTCCCCTGATTTCCCCTTTTCTTTCCTGGATCCTGTCCGGAACCTGTGTGGCCTTTCAGAGCCACCTTTTCTTCTTCTCTGACAGTTCCTCAGCTATCCTTAGAGTTACGTCTTTGATGCTTTGGGGAAATCTTGCTTATAGAAAGCCTGTTGTCACAGCTCGTGGGACTTTTTCCCAGTCTGGCCTGAGCCTGTGTTTGTGGGATGGGCACTGCCATGTGACCTTCCTCTGCTCAGAGCACTGCAGGGTAGGTGTTTGGGTCACAAAGTATCGAACTGTCACCCACTGAACACAGCAGCCCCGAGTGGACCTTGCCTGCTGTAGGTAGTGCTTTGATAATTGCCCAGCTATGATTTTTGTATTTCTGTCATTCCTTCTGAAAAGTTATTAGAATTAAGGAAGAGCTGTCCATTCTCCACTGTTTTCTCTTTGATTTACTGGTATTCATTAGTGTATTTGCACAGTTGCTTTTTCTCTGGACTGTAATTCAGTACTGTCCTAAATTGCAGCTAAGCTGTTCAGTTGAGGTGACTGGGGGCTTCTTCAGAGTGGCTCCCACGCCCTTCACACCCTTCATGTTGTTCAGTGTGCTTTGCTTTCTGGCCTTGAAGATACTTCAGTCTCAACTTAGGTCCTCCACCTTAGCCCTAAACTCCACTTCTTCCAGGAGCTCTGGATCCTCCGTGAAGCACGTTCACAACTCCCCAGCAGAAACAGTGGTGGGACCCATTTGTCTTTGCAGATAGTCAGTACCTACTAAAGTTCACCCAGATCAAAGCCCTGAAGGGTTGCGCTCTGGCTTGTGTGCCGCATTATCACCCAGTGTTCACAGACAGTCAGACCGCTCCCCTGCAGTGCTGTTACAGAAGTGGTCACCAGTGAGGTGAACTCAGGTCGATTTCAGGGAGGGCAGTGTCCTACCAGTCATGTGCTCAGAACTGCTCCTGCCCATTCTGCTGGCTAATGGAAACTAGCACCTGCCCGTTGTGTGTCCTGCTAGTGGATGGGCTGTGTCACTCCCCTCCACAATCCTATCCCACTTTTCATAGGAAGTGGTGTCTTTTAAAAAGTATTTTCTACTTCCTTGAACTTATGCCAGCATGTGGAACTGTTAGTATAAGAGTGCTCTTTAAAAGTTTGCCTGGTATTTTAAGTATTTAATCCCTATTTTTCCTCCCAGAAAAACCTGCCAAAGAAGACATCAGATCCAGAGTGTCTGAGGAAGATGACATGCTACCTCTGGCCCCAGGCAGCCCGCCCCGCTCCTCTAATGTGCAGACATGCCTTGCGGCGCTGTCCAGGGAGATGCAGGCTGATTTTGCTGCCTGGAAAAGTGTGGCCAAAGAGCAGCCCAGTGGTGTGAATCACAGTGCCAGCAGAGTCGTCTCTAATGAGGACAGGGATCTGGAGGCTTTACCTCGGAGTCCTGAGGACTGGGATGGGACTGGCTTTGCCCACCATGGTCATCTTTTGGACAGAGATCTCCAGGCTGCCATGGACTTCTTCAGACTTCCCCCTCCTCTTCTGTCTCCAGTGCCCTCGCCCCCTTGCATGTCCTCACCACAGCCGGGCTCCTTACCATCTGCGCTCACCTCTGTGAGTGTGTTCTCTGATGTGAGTTCTGCATGAGCATGTGGTCTGGGTCTCAGGTCTTGCCTTGACCCTCGAGTGTAGATGGGCTCAGGCAAAAAACTTGTCCTTCTAGCCAGTTTCCTCAAGGAGTATGTGAGATGTCAAGGAGGCACTCGTGCCCTTTGGGCCATCAGTGGACTGCAAGTTTTGCACTTTGTACTAAGCTTGTATTTTTATTTGTCTTTATCCCAACCAAATGCTAAGTTTCACTATAGGAAAATCTAAGAGTCTCTTTTTATCAGTGGAGCCTGCCGCATTCAGTGAATGAAAGATACGCTTGAGGCATGAAGTTACATCGATAGGAAAATCCCCACCGTCACATCATTCATGCCTGTTGGCCCCACATAGCCAAGGTCCCCACTTTGACATGATAGATTCATGTTTTGTGATCTGGAAAATTGTAGTAACTTCCTAGAGGACATTAGTGTTGATGAAAAGTACTTGCATACCATTTGGCATAAGGAACAACTATGTGTACTGCTCTGTCAAGGCAAGAGAGAGAAGAGATAGAAGGGAGGGGAGAGGAAGGGAGGGAATATGAACGAGTCTAGACACTGAGCTAGACTCGGGTGTGCAGCGGTGCATTTAGCCGAGCTGCTCCTGGGGAACTGGCAGTAGGTAAGTGACACCCAGTGAATGAAGATGCAGTCAGGCTGTTGAGGAAAGCCAAGAGACAGCAGTGGCCTAGATTGAAGAGAGCAGGGTTGTGGCATCAGTCGTGGGCATCAGTCAGTGTCCCCATGCCTCACATATGGGACACATGGCTATGTCACAGGATGGCCTACGGCAAGGGGTTGAGGGCTGTGGAGGACAGGGTGGGAAGGAGAGAGCCATGCAAGGGGCAGTTGTGATGTGAGGACGTGCCAAAACCTGCCTGGGCATGAGTGACATCTGGCGCGGGAGGGAGGAGGGCTGTGGATCCCAGGCTGTGTTTATTAGGGACCAGAAGGAGTGCAGAAGTAGGAATGCCTGGAATTGGAGACCGTAGAGCCTCGGCCCTGTGTGAGGGTCACAGTCATCACAAGAAAGCAGTGGAACGGGGCAAGGCCTTGGCAAGGGCACGCTAGGAATGGGTGAAGCAGCCTCGTGCCAGGCCTTTCTCTCGGGTGGGGACTGCGAAGTCCTTCCGGGAGCAGACCCTTTTCTTGATGCACTGCCTGACACTGGTGGCTGTTGAGGGGTTGTTGACCAATGCACCTCATCTTCCTTTCAGGAAACCTACTTTGGAGAGTGCACAGATTCCAGTGACAGCGACTCCACTCATCCTGGAAATCCTGCCGACTCTATTTCTGAAGATGATATAACTGAGTCACAAGATTATTTTGGTTTATCCAGAAAAAATAAAGCAAGGGGTGCATGGGAAGAGAAGCCCAGGTCACAAGAAGCCATCCAAGCTGTGAATGAGTGGACAGTGAATACAGTGGCCGCTGGTGGGCTTGCAGCGCTGACTGTGGCCCGGAGCAAGCCTCCAGCCACCTCCCCTGTGGCCCGGGAAGAGCCCTTGGTGGGGCCGTCTGAAATGCAGGCTGAAAGCCCAAGAGCTGCTTCCGGGGAAGTCAGAAGGCCAGGGGGAGTCGGAGAGAGCGCTGAGTGCCTGCAGGCCGACAGGACACACCACACGCCCAGCGGGAGTCTCTGGGGGGAGAGGCTGTCCTGCAGCCTAACGGGAGACAAGGACAAAGCCACTGAGAAGTCAGCCCTTCACAGGACGCCACAGAAGGAGCTTGGCAAGTCCAAAGGAGGATCCCTGCCATTTAGAATGGCGGGATCATGCACATCAGAATTTACCGAGTGGACACGTACTAATGAAGTCGCTTTGGAGGCAGGACGGGTGACCGGACCTGGCTGTCTGCAGAGAGTATCTGGAGCAATGACAGAGGGCACTGGAGATATGCAAGGGTCCACTTCAGAAGAACTGCCCGAACCCGAACCCGAAGAGGACTGTGGTGGCACAGGTGGTGCGGTGGGTCAGGCAGGGCTGGGTGTTAGAGCCGGTGTTTCCTCCTCTTCTCCCATGGCACCAGGGTATGTCTGCAGTACTCCGCAGGCTGCACAGTTAGGAAGCATCGCTGCTGTGGAGACTCCAGCCAAAGGAATCCCTCCTAAGCTGCACCGTTTAGAACAAAACTTACAAACTAAAACTTCAAACACACTACTTCGATCTGAGCCACCAGAACATTCTATACAAGAAAACAACCTGGAGAGCAGCTTGCGTTCTTTGAGTCCTGAGTTGGGAGTACGGGATATGAATGACCAGAAGAGCAGGGAGATAGAAGGCACAAAAATTATAAAAGGTTTGACCAAAATGTACTCTTTTCCTCTGTCAGTATTCAGGAAGGCAACAAAAGACGGACTCTGCGAGACTCAAGATCCAGGAATGGAGCTCACACTACAGAGGTCAGATTGGGCTTCACTAGCGGGTCCTCAGGCTGCCGTGGTCAGGAGTGGCTGTGGTTTTGTGAAGAGCACTTCGTGGCACCATAGTGATTTCCTAAGAAGTGCTGGTGAGAGCCCGAGAGTGAGCTCAGCACATGAACGGGAGAGTGGCTGTCAGTTTGATATGGCAGCACCAGCTCTCCAAAACAGAGGGTCAGGGGCCATGCCTCAGCGTCCTGGAGAAAGTGCCAGGCCTGTGGGACTCACAGCTGCTGCCGCACTGCTGCCCAACCAGGTGTCCGTCATCACAAAGCAGACAAGGCCCCCACAGACCCCAAGTGCGCACCCGGAGCACTGGTCACCAAACAGGAAGGCGCCGCACATAGCCGCTGGGAATCAGGCTAGCAGAAGGGAGACACCAGCAGCAGCAGAGCCCGGCGGCGAGGGGGAGGACACCGTCAGGAGCACGGAGGAAGTGGCTGCCCGGAGGAGCGCGGCACCGCGGCCTCCTTCCGCTTGGAGACATTTGGATCCTCCGACTGATTCTATACTGGCAGGAAGTTCGGCCTGTTCTGGGGACAGTGAGGTAGCTTTCTCTTCTGGAAACAGGCGTCCCTGTAGCCTGGAGGTTTCCAGGGGTGCTGCCACGCAGGATGAGGCGCAGATGCCAGAGCCGTCTCCTCCCTTCCCGGGTGAGGACGCACGTGGGGCTGAGCTGGCTGTGTCGGGAGGCTGCCCTGTGCGAGAAGTGCCCCGTGGGGACCCCGAGGCCCTGGCCGGCACCCTCAACCCGCCCAGCACCTCCCAGGAGGCGTCTGGAACGCCTGGTGCGGCTTTACCGGTACACTTTGTCACCCCGAGCGTCACCTTTTCATCGCCGTTGTGCAGCACAGCCGAGGCCCGACACCTGTCACAGAGCGGGCCCCTGGCTTCCGCCTTCTGCTGTGCAGCGATCCGGGAGGCCAGGGACAAGGACAGTGAGGTGGAAGGGAGCGAGAGCGATGTGGAGGCTGACGGGCTGGGCAGGGGACCACGGGATGCAACGGGTAACACCCAGAAGGCTTTGGGGAGCAGTGAGGCTGGGGGGCCCGAGACAGGAGCTTCTCTAGAGCTGGGCGACTTGACCTCTGCGCTGCAGGAGTTCAACCTCAGCCCTTCCCCGGACATCGACAGGCTTTCCGCCTCCGGGGTTCTCATGTTTTTCGAGAATTGTCAGTTAAGGGACTATAGTTCAGGGGACTCGATTTCAGAATGTTCTAGCAAGGGAACCCTAAATAAAGAAGTCGACAAAGAGTTAAAGGCACGTGACATATCAGGAGAGAGGCCTGAGGAGCAGCCCTGCGAAGAGGAGGCACCGGGGAGCCCGGGGGAGTGGGTGGAAGGGGAAGAGGACTGTTCTCTGAGGGCGCCCAGCCCGCTGGCGCAGTGCTCCTTGGAAATGCAGGCTGAGGTGCTCTCCAGCATTGGACAGGAGCTTGAGATAGGCCGCGGGGACTTTCAAGGCAACGATCCTGGCAGGTTACTCCTCTTAAAAATATATAACAGCCTGACAGTGGAAGATCTGAAAGACGTTCTACCTCTGGAAGTGGCCCCCCATCCCCCAGAACCACCCCTGCCCACCGCCACCCCAGACGTGCAGGGCAGCCACCTTGCGATAGGTAGGTCTCTCCCTGAGCACACTGGGAGTGGACCCGAGGACAGTCCCCAGGCCACTAAGCCTGCCGCCCCCGAGGAGGGTCGGGCAGCACCGCCCACCTGGTGCGCTGGCTCTGCCGCTGAGGCCATACCCCAGCACAGCCCCGGCTGTGAGGGCGCAGTGCGCAGGGCTCATAGAGAAGGCGCCATGGTGCAGGGGCAGGGGGCACTGGACGCTCCTTTTGCTTCCTTGGAATCTCCAGAGCGGGCCCCAGGAACCAGTGTCCCCGGACCCGCATCACAGGAGCCCCCGGGCAGTGGCTCCCCTGTGGGTGCCCAGGGCGCTGTCTCCAGCAGTGGGCAGAGCAGCAATTTCGATAAGAGCCGCCTGCGGAACAGGCCTGTTAAGCCCAGCATCTGGGTGAGCTCTCAAATATACGATCAGCCCTTCGAGCCTGCAAACATCACCTCCGATCACACGTATTATAACTCGAAACTGGAGCCGTCTGGGAAGAATAAGATCCGAGTGAAGATTCCCGGCAAAGATCTGCCTGGCAAACCCGCTAAGACTGCAGCGCCAGCTAGAGGCGACCCTCCTCCGTCGGGAGTGGGGGACTGTGGAAGCCTGAGGACCCTCCGGGGACAGGCGCAGCCAGTTGTGGCCAAAGCCGACACATCCACCCCCACAGACTGCACCCTGGATGCACTCAGCAGGATCCGGCAGGAGGTGGGGCCTCCCCTGCCGCCACTGCTCGCACCACTGGTTGCCACACCACCACGGACCACGCAGCCAGTGTCGCCCCTGAGGTCGCTCCCCAGCCCGGGCTCCCCAGGCTCCCCGGCCTCCCCCGCAGAGCCGCCCGCACTGTCTCCCTGGCCAGAGGAGCCCTCGCCTCCTCCCTCGGCCGCCTGGGCTGCGGGGAGGAGCGTGTCCTCGCCCCTGCAGTTCTGCGCAGCCACCCCGAAGCACGCGCTGCCAGTGCCAGGCAGGCTGCCGCCCTGTGCACCCAGTGTGCCCACTGCCACCGCTGCCTGCCCCCCGGAGAACTCGGTGAAGATCCTGGACACCATGTACCCCGAGTTATCCGCCCGGGCGCGCACCCTCAGCATCCTCAAGGGTAACCTGCAGCTGTCGCGGGGCTCTTCCACGGACGGGAAGACCTTGCCAGGGCCCATGAGCGCGCTGATAGGGCTCAAAGCCATCACGTCCTCGTCCACCGCCTTTGTCAAAGCAGGGGGTGACACTAACCAGGACAGGCCGAGAGACTCGGGGCAGGATTCGGGGGCGAAGAGAACACTGGCAGCTTCCACTCTGAGGGGAGCGAAGAGACTGCGCCTGGACAGTGAGTCCCCGGAACCAGAAGTGATGGAGGCTGCCTCCAGACACGGCCCCAAGAGTTCCCTGGGAAAACCCCCCCATCCCGAAGCTGAGCCCATAGAGCAGGAAGGCAGCGGGGCCACAACCACCAGTCCAGGGTCCCAGGTCCCTTCGAAGCCCAAAGAAACGGTGGAGTCACACAATGAAGCCATCGCTCAGGCACTGAAGAAGATTGCAGAGTCTTCTTTCGACCTGTTACCTGTCATTCGAAGTCACGTGCATGTTGGAAACATCTCTAAGAAGCCTGTAATGAGGGACCAGGAGAAGGAAGTCGTCTATGAATTTAGCACAACAAAGAAGGTATGTAGCTGCTTTCCTCCGAGTGTGTCGGGGATCCATGGGCTCTGGCAGGGCCCTCTACTGTCTACAAGGTGCACAAAAGTTTCATTGCAAGGTTGAGCGTCACCCGGTAGACAGCAGGGCACATGCACGCTGTTAGCCAGCTTTACACACTCTGCAATTTGAGACAAAATGTCTGATAGTTTGTACACATTGAAGGGGTTAACATTTTAAACGGGAGGACCATCTGTCAGAGGTGTAGTGGGACACACGTTTTGCAGGGAGAGTTTTTAGGACGGTTCCCCAGCAGTGGGTGACCCAGGTGAAACTGGAGGAGGAGGACCGCGATTGTGCAGGTTTCCAGCACAGCTGGTGAGGTTTCTGGAGCTTCCTATTTCAAGATCTTCATGGCTCCTCCGTCTATGATCCCTCTGACAATGTTATCCGCACATGCCTGGAGTCCAGCAGCATGAACATTTTGTTGTTTTTTAATTTTTACTTAAAGAGAAAAAAGACAACAGAAAAAAGGGTAGAAGTAATATAAAATTTCAAAAATATAAACATCAAGAAATCACTAGTTGAAAGATTACATATTGTCATCTTAGAAATAGTTGTTCAAGTTACAGAATTAAAGCATACATAGTGGGTATTCAAACAATGAGACTGCAAGAAGTTCTGTTCAGTGTTCCAACAAAAACTTAGTATTATGGTTATGTAAGACTTAAACTTACATGCAGTTATATCCTTTAGAGCACTTTCTTTTCCTCTCTTTTTTACAATAATTACACATTTTGGGTTTTATTACTCCTACAGTTCTTAATACTTTTTTTTGAAGATAATAAAACCAAATGAGACAAAACAAAATAGTCAAAACAAAAGAATGGACATAGTACATGATTTAAAAACAAAATACAAGGTGATCAATGTTGGTTACCATAAAGCCTCTTGCTGTCTTCAAAAGAATTGCCCCTATCATCAGGCATAATAAAATTGAACAAACAGTACAGAACAAAACCAATAAAGACAAAACACTGCAGACATTACAAGACTTTAAAAGAATATAATAGTCAAACCAGAATGGGTGTCATAGTGAATCTTACTGTCTTAAAAGTACTTGCCTGTACCCTGAGATGCTATACTATCAAACAAAACAGAATGGAAAAAAATCAGTCAAAACAAGACACTGAAAGCAATACAGGGCTTCAGATCAAGTTCATAGGAAATTAAACATGGTTACCTTAATATATCCTGCTAGCTGTCCATGCCATCAAGTCTAATACAAGAAGACAAACTGGAACAGAATAAAACCAGACTAAAGAGAACAATGAAAAGAGTATGGGTTTCAAATCATAATACAATTGCCTTCCCTTTTTAGATAATTCCTCTCCTTTCACTTTCACAGGGTGCACTGTACAATTTGTATCCCAATAACTCCTTTAGTTTTTAGGTTAGGGAAGGAACGGCTGTTCACCTAAGTGATTCTGAACCTTTTTTTAGCCCTGAGCATGATCTCAAATTGTATCCATTTGCCTACAAGAGCTTCAAGGTTTTCTTTCTTTGTAGCTGATAGTTTTCCATTGTATAAAAGTATCATGGCTTTCTAGCCCATCTGTAGCTGATGCTCAAGCTACACCCACTCTTCTGGTTCCCTGTCACGCAGGGACAGGGATGTTTTCTCATCTTTGACTTTCAGTCTATAACCCCTCTTTGGGGTTAATTGTATTTCTTATATAGCGCATCTTGATGGACCCTATCTCCTGATCCACTCTGCCTGTGTTTCTTTTTATTGGTCAGTCGAGGCTATCCATGCCAGTGACTGGCCCACCTTCTCTGCCTCATCTCTGCCATGCTATGCTTCTGTCATTGTTTGTCTACTTTTCCCCTTCATTCCACTGTCTGCTCTGTTCAGTGAACCCCCTCTGCCACTGTTCCTGAAACCATGGTCTTTTTTTTCTCTCTACAATGTCCTTCAGTATATTTTATAGGGTTGAATTGGTGGTCATGATCTCCCCTAGTTCCTCTTTGTCATGGAAACATCTTGTTTCTCCATTAATTTTGAGAGATGGTTTTGCAGGGTACATTAATCTGGGTTAGAGGTTGTTTTCTTTCAGGACTTTAAATCCTTCACTCCAAGCTCTTGATTTGATGGTTTGTGTCAAGAAGTCTGTCATGATTCTGATGGGTTTTCCTTTATAGGTGATCTGTTTCTTGTCTCCGACAGCTTTTAATATTCTGTTCTTGTGTTGAATTCTGGGATGTTGATTATTATATGTCTAGGAGTACATCTATTTTGGTTATAGTTGGCTGGAGTTCTGTATGCCTCATATATTGGAATATCATGTCCTTTTCCTACGCTTGGGAAGTTCTCTTTGATTATGGTGAATACCCTTTGTATTTCATTTGTATTTACACCTGCTTCTTCACTCACATTTTTTATTCTTAAGTTATAGGTCCTCTTGTCATTTAGCCTTTGTCTTGTTACTTTCTGGTTCCTTGTTATGTTTAAAAGATTTTTCCTTTCATGATTGCAAGCTGCAAACCTATCTTCAAGGTTTCTTTCAAGCAGTTTTGCCATCTTTCAATGGAGTTTTTAATTTCCTGGTAATCTCTTTGGATCTGTTTCATGTATTCTAAATTTTTTATATTCTTCATTGAAGGTTTCCCTCTTTCTATGCTCCTCTATTCTTTCATCTGTGTCTTCTTTAGAGGTGCTTAGCAATTCTTTTATGTTTCTCGTACCTTCTTTTACCTGTAATAATATTTCTGTTCTAAGTTCTTTTATAGCTTCATGAAGTTGTTTCTTTGTTTTGGTTGCTGCTGCTTCAGAAACTGCAGGTGTGGGACTCCCGATCTCTTCTGTGCTCACATCTGGACCAGTACTGCTTGGGTTGGAGGCCAGAGACTGCCTTTTGCTTCTTCCTCTTGTCATGTTTCTGATTTCTTCTGGACAAGTGGGTATTGGGGTCCCCAGCACTCCCTGTGTTGGTTATAATTACTCTGAAGTGTGTTGGCCAGGTATTTCTGCTGTTTGCTGCTTTTCCCAGTGTACTGATGGCTACTGGAGTGTAAGCAGGGCGGGACAGGCCAACTCCTCCCTTCTGAGCTAGTTAACCGCTGAGAATCTTCACCACATTAGTGTGGGCCAGGTGGGTGGGTTGTTAGGGAAAGCTTTAGGGAAACCTAGGTCGTAACTATTGGCCTGTGCGGAGAGGCAGGGCTCAGTCCAAGGAGTTTCCACCAGTCTGCTCTGAGCTAGAAGTGGCAGAATGAAGCCGGCTGCAGTTCTGTCTCCAGGCTTATGGTACCCAGCTCCAAAATGGCACCCAGTCAGTCTCCCACTGCCACAGGAGAATTGAGTCCCATACACTCACCACCAGCCAGTGCAGTTCTGTGGTCTGCTGCTCCCTTACACCACCATGTCTCCCTGCCAAGGCCTTTGGGCTTGCTGGCCACCAGCCTCATTGTGTCCATGTGTCTCTGGGTTCCAACAGTGCTTCTGGCGCGATTGTTTTGGCTCTGGTGTTAGCGCCACCAGCTACCTCCTTGTTCTGTTTAAGTTTTTCTTTCTTTTCTTTTTTTTTTTTTTTTTTATTCTCTCATTGGGCTTCAGTTTTCACTTTAGTTTCTTCCTGGGATGAGAGGAATTCTTTCTTTGCTGTGTTCTCTAGAATGCTGTATTCCAGCATCTGCACTTTGTCTCAGAGAGGCTGTTTACTCTGCTGCTTACTGTTCCACCATCTTCCCAGACCTCCCTGTTGGTTTTTGATTAGGGTGGTAGATCGATTCACAAGCTTGGTTCTCTTCATGATTCTGGTTGCAAACCAAACTGGACCAGAATAAAGTCTAAATTAAGAACTAAATCAAATCTTCTCATAAGATCATCATTGAACCCAACCATTGAATTTGACTTGGTTCTTGTCCAGCTCATTTTGCAACCAGAATGATAGAAAAAGTCAAGTTTATGAACTGAGACACCACTCTACTTTCTTGGAAAACCCCAAAAGTTTTTTTGGTTTTTTGAATGAATGAGTATCCAATTGCTGTTTAGTGATGCTCTTCCTGAAGAAGGAAAGAGTTATCCAGTGTTCTCACATCTGAGCAGCACAGGCGTAAACAGGAGAATGGCAGTAGGGTTAGAGGACGGAGGCTCAACACATTCAGATTGTTTTGGCAAAACCCAGGAAATGGGCACTTAGCAAGAGGTGGGAGTGCCCGTAGGCAGCTAGATCTCTTAACCTGCCCGGTGGCCTCTCTGGACTGACCACCCACAACAAGGGGATGGACCCAGAAGTGTGTACCCCTGCCAGCGCTGGCATTTTATCAGGCTTAGCATTGTGGTCCATCTTCCAATACTGTGTGATTACATTTTGCTAATAATTATTGGTTGTGTGACTTGGTATTTATTAGGTGGGCTAAAGGGAATCATGACTGTCGTTTGCTTTTTTGTTTTTTTCCAATCCAGCGTTTAGCAGAGTGTTTGCTTCACTCCATTCTCTCAGAGCTCAAGACTCAGAAGGTGTCTGAGGACCACAGTTACATGCACGCGCTCTGCAGAGTGTACGTGGGTGTTTGTCGGCAGCTGGGAGACTTGGCAAGAGCCCGCTTGTTTTGCTACAGTCTCCTAAAGGAGGGTATGTGTAGACCAATTCTTGTATTGAGAATAATACCGTTGTATTTCTTATCTAGTAATCGGGGAATTGTTTGTGGGTTTACTGTTGTGTATGTTTGAAAATAGTTGTTATGTTTTGCGCATGTATTAGAGGACATAAATAGTGAGCCTGGCTTTGAGTAGCATAAATGTAAATGGCTAAGTAAGTTTACTCAGCACCTACCTTTCCGGTGGAACATAAATGCTGAGGTGTATCTCGTGACTATGCAGTTCATTCCCATGTTACTGGCAGCTGACAGGAAGTACAGGAAGGCCTTTAGGTGACAAGCCGGACTGCTGTGCTCTGCACTGGACAGGGCAGCTCTGGGCCAGCACTCACCAGCTCGTGAGCACAAGCGCTCAGGGAGGAACTGGAGTTAGGTGTGAGCGTTACTTGTGACCATCCTTTCCCTACTGTTGCTTCGGTCTCTACTAGGATCAAAGCAGGACTCTGTTGCCTCAGATCGTCATGCCCCTAAATCAGGAAGCGATATTCCCGTGCAACTTAATATGATGCCAGGTCTAAGTTGCCCACTTGTAGGTTTTTACTCTTCTAGTGGAAAGGAGAGCAACACTGTCCTTCCAGAGTGTACTACCCAGTGGAAGATAGAGACAGCAGACAGGAGTAACAACACAGTGAGGGACTCGCGCTGTGGGCTCAGATGGGAGAGCTTGGTGGAGCACATGTGTGCTGGAGCTGGTCCTGTGCAGGTCAGGGAAGCAGAAAGAAGCCCATCAGGGCAGACCGTGGTGAAAATGGGCTTGTTCCATGGCCTTCCCTGGCAGTTGCCACGAGTCAGGAGCTGCAGGGACTGAGGGCCACAGTGGCGTCGTGGAGACGGGCAGGCCTTGGTGTTAGTGGGCTGTGGGCTCTGCCAGTTGCTTTCCTGTGCTCCCTGCAGGCTCCCTCTCTCCCAGGTCCCACAGCTGCATCAGGGCTCATTCTCCTGCCCACACTCAGGAGCTGTGCGACCTGCTCTGGACCCGTTCTCCTTGCTCTGCATCCAGGGCCCATTGCACTCCTTACAGTGTCTTCTCTGGTGTGATTGTGGTCTCTCTCTCCCACTGGAGTGCACGTTGGGAGAGGGCGGGAGTTTATCTTGTCCCCAGCATGTCTCCACTCCAGAAGGACTCACGACTGACAACCAAGACCTGTATCTGTTATGAATTTATGTAGTCTGAGGAGTCCAGAATCTTTCCTTGTCAAAATAACTTCTGATTTTAGCAAGTCAAAGTAGGCACTGAGTATACACTTTGATTTCCCCATTCTTTTAAGACACCTGACAATGTTAAAATATAATAGAGAAAGTTACAATGATGCGCTTTTGTGACAAATAGGGCCAAAAGTTTTCATTGACTGGCATAGTCATGTATTAGAAGAAACATTTTAATAAGATTAACACGTGTATTTATTTATTTGGTACTGAGGATTGAATCCATGACCTTGCGCTTGCCAGGAGGGCATTTGTGCCACTGAGCTATATGCCCAGCCTTAGCACGTTTATTAAGTAATGCAGAAATTCCACTCAGGTACATCGCCCAACCCAAGTAGACGATTCCTTACATAGGCTGTTACGCACAGGTGTCCACAGCACCGTGGTTGATATTAGCCCATAGCTAAAACCAAATGTGCATCAGCAAGTGAGTGAGAAGGAAATCGTGATCTGTCAAGCAGGTGAAGGCTGTTGACCGGTACACTGGCAGGTCCAGTTAGCGTGCCAGCGCCCAAAGGCCGTGAGTGAGTCTCAGATTGGGGCGAGTGGGGAGGGCAGGCAGAGTGGAACGCGCCCTGCACCCATCATGGGTGGGTGCGTGCGTGACAGGAGCCCTGACCCAGGTGACAGTCGTCAGGCCCGGCTTCGAGGGAGGGGGGTGTAGGGTGATGGTGTGGGCTGTGGCAGTGGGGGGAGGATGGTTTCCTGGATTTACGTGTTCATGAAAATTCATCGATCTCTCTGCAGTGTAGGTGATTTTGTGAATAGGTAAGCCGGATTGTAGAAGAAAGTATTTACAAGATGAGTGAAGAATCCGTATATTAAAACCTCAGGTCCTCTATCCTGAAAGGCAAGTGAGTGCATAAACATGTCCAGGAAGGCATAACTCACCCAGAAGAATTTGGGGCTACAGAAACTTAGAGAAAGAATTTTGTCCACTTTTTATATGTCTGAGAGTTTTTTTCTTTTTTTTCATATAGTTGTGTGTTTTTACTGTTTAAAATTGAGCTAAATAAAGTGTGACAAAGGAGAGAAAAAGAAGAAAAGAACGTGAAATATTGGTGAGACCAGAGCCAGTGGGCACTCATGGCCAGCGTGTTCGGCTGCAGGAGGCCGTGTGAGGCACCAGGGAAAGGAGTTGTATTTGTTTAAGGTTTTTAAATCCGTTCACTTGGTCAGACTCAAATGTTTCTTGTATTGCTTTCTTTCTTGTAGATTTTCCAGAGTCTGAGAAACTGACTTTGTTTATCGCGAACATGTGGCATGATGTGTTTGCTTCCCCGTCAGTGATTAGCAAAGCCATGCAGCTGGTTGCCAGGCAGCGTGCCAGAGGGGAGGTTCTGAGCTGTCTGAAAGCCTTTCTCAGCTGGGAAAAGGTGAGCATGTTTCCATGTTTCTTCTCCTCTGTCCCTGTTTGTAGACCCCTAAATGCTATCACTTGGTTTTGTGTTTAGTTTGGCTTAGTTCAGAAGTGTTCAGAGATACTCGTCATCCTATTAGATCCTTTAAAGTATCATTCCCACCTAAGCTTATGCATTAAGTATTCATGAGCCATTATTCATGAGTATTCATGAAGAATTATAAACCATGGACCATATTAATTTCTGAGGGTATGTTTTATCTACTAATGATGACTAATGAAATGCATACCCATGAGTATGTGAATAAAGGGCTTGGAGTGGATCCATAAGTCATTTGATCTGCGGTAGATACTTTGGTGAAAAAGTGGATACCTGTATTTCTTCGTGGTAAGCCTTTTCTGAATCTAGTGTGCTGTGTTTTTCCTTTTGGTTGACAGAACTAGTGTTTGTTCTGAGTCGTTTGTTCTCATGTGGCAAATTCACTCTTTTGTCTTGGGTTGCTGACCTGTGAAAGCAGGCAGTGTGATCAGAGTGCATGGTGAATGTGTAAGTGTAGAGCTTGCCCTTCCCCTCAGAATGCTTCCCTTCCCTGCAGACACGCGTGCCTCATTGGCACGCTGCATCTTGCGGTGTTTCTGGAAGTCCCTTGCTGAGGGTCTCCAGGTGAGTTACTCCTACAGGGAAGGCTGCTGCGGGCGCCATCAGGGCAGAAGTGGCACACAGCCATCGCAGTGTGTCCTTGTCCACGCTAGTCCTCAGATACGGGACCACGCAGAGTTAGAGGGAAACATTCAGCCAGCTCTGGACAGCCAGGCAGCCTTGCCCGGCTCCGAAGGGGCTTCCGGGGCCGCTTCAGAAGGCGTCGAGAACCAGGAGAGAAGTCTGTCCAGAGTGAGGAGACATTTTGAGGGCAGTTAATGGCAACATGTCTTTAATTGTAGTAAATTTTAAAGTTGGGCTGGAGATTTAGCTCAGCGGCATAAGAGCCTGCCTTGTAAGCACATGGTCAAGAGTTCAAACCCTGGTCCAAAAGTAATAATAATAATTTTAAAAATGTACATATTCACATTTTTTAGTCCCACCTCATAGTATTTGGATTGATGTTCTTTTATTCATTATTTTTGTCTCATGAGGATCCAATTAATAAGCGGTAAAACTTACTCTACTTGAGGTTGATTTTCCATTTTTTTCCTTTTCTTTTGATGAGCATGTATTATTTTAATTTTTTTAAAAAAGTCTTTATCAGGGATAAACTAAGCATCACCACACCTGCCTGGCAAGTGCCGGGTCCTGAGTTTGATTCCCAGTACCAAATAAATAAAATTTTAAAATCCTCATGGTTTCTGTATGTAGTGGAATTTTGGGTAAATATTTGTTAGGCTTTTGTTTTGTTTATAGACAGAAAAGGAAAGACTGTCTGTTGGTCCAGAGTTAGGTGAATTTGAAAAAACAAGTCTGCGGTCACCTGTTCTGCAGCCTGTCGAGCCACACCCGAGTGCCTCTGGAGGGCGCTGCTCTGGATTCCCGCTGCTCCTTCAGAGGCCAGGAGCCTTTCTGGCCTGGGGTTCTGGGGGCTTCCTCAGTGAGGAGCACTCACCTCCCATGCATCAAGCCCTGGGTTTGATTCCCGCCATGGGCTGGGTCATAGTGGTACACACAGCCATACACGGCCCCTCAGAGGAGATAGCTCTTATCCAAAATAATTGCAACCAGCAAGCTTCAAATTTCAGTGTTTTTTGTTTTTAGAGATGCCTGTATAGACTTTCTGTGCTGAGCATCCCTAGACTGCAAAGCGCAGATTTCTCTGAATTGAAAACTTTGAGCGTCACATACTCAGGTTTCAGGGCTCCTTTCAGACTGGAGGTGTTCCAAATTGCCCTGCAGTGTGGGAAGGAACCCTCCCTGCCCCGGGCTTCTGCAGTGGAGTTGATGCCGTGTGCAAACAGCCTCTGCTTGTAGGAAACACTCCCTGACTTGACTTGCTAGCCACGTGTAAGCCTCTTTTAAAAGCTTTAAACTCATGAATCTTGTTCTCACTATAATCAGTTGTTATAGAAGTGTCTTCACTTTGACCAGTGATTAATCTTATATTGATTTTTATTTAAAAAGTTAACATCTAAATGATTGGTCTTATTTATAAACTTCAATAACTTACCTTTGGTTTTAAGGTAATCATGAACTTAAGATACGTACCACACAACACATCAAACTCGATCTTCAATCTAATTATCAAAATCTTTCTGAGAAGCAGTGTTTGAATGTAAAAATCTAATTGAGATTGGAACATAAGTTGTATTAAATATGTAGACATTGTTCGAATTCTCCTAAACATTTGTAATTAGTGTCATAATTCTAATGTGAAGTACTATAAATCATAATTATAACGTAAGCAGCAAATTCTCAGCACTTCTTCATAGCATAAATGAAATACATGTACAGTAATACCTTGGTTCACGAATGCTTCCGTCCGTGAACCCCACTTCAGGTTGACAAACACAGCCACTGTCATCTTCCCTGCTTGAACACAACTGAATGTGGCCGTCTTCCCCAGAATCGTGGAATGAATTAAGTTCGTGAACCAAGGTACCCCATACATTATCACGTGTTCACAGACACTGTAATATATATCCGTATGTATAATACAAAGAGTGAACAAGTAAGGATTGAATTCTCTTCATGTCTAAGTGTGTTTCTGCATCTTCTGAGTGTGCAAAGTTACTGACTTCCCTGAGGGGGCGAGTATTTGCCTTTTTGGTTGAGTTTGGCTTGTCAGTTATGTCTGGACTGTGATTTGTTTTTGGGTTATATGATAGCTTGAAAGCTTTGAGAACCTATCCGGTTACTTATGGGCAAGCTACAGATGAACATGTTGAGGCCTTCAAACAATAAAGCTGATTTCCGAGCTCAGGCCTTGTCCTGTATTGAGGATATAAGTCTCTTACATATGTTTTACTTTTACCCTGGAATTCACTCACAGTACTAGTGGAAACGAGAGCCAGCACAACCGCTTCGGATGTGGGTGATTCTTATAAAGCTAAGCATACTTTAGCCAAGGGTCCAGCAGTCCCACGCCTAGATGTTTATTAAGATAAGTTTACATGCCAAGACTCATATGTCAGTATTCCTAGAAACATTCAAAAGCAGGAAACTGCAAGATGCCTGATGCCTGTCAGCAGGCCAGGTGATTGTTCAGTAGTTACACGCCCCCATGGCAGTTTACCACAGCAGTGAGAAAGAGTACTTACAGCGTGCGGGCAGCGGATGGATGAGTACACACAAATGGGAGAGAAGCTGGGCGTAGTTGTCCAGGAAGGGCTGATTCAATTTTATGAATTTCTGGGAAGGACAGACAGATGTCCAGTGTCAGAAAGATTTATAGGATTTAATTTTTTTTTTTTTTTTTTTTTTTTTTTTTTTTGTCTTTTTCTTTTTTATCGGTACCGGGGATCGAACTCACAACTGCCTGCTTGTGAGGCAGGTGCTTATGCCGCTGAGCTAAATACCCAGCCCCTGGATTTAATTTTTTTATTAGTGTAACTATACTTGTCTGATTTGAGTTGATACAGATTTACCTTCCTGTGGGGATCACAGCTAAGCACTTTTGTACTGCAGTGAATTCAGCATCCTGCCTGTAGATTTTTACCTGTGCTAGCAACTGTCTTCTGTAATCATTTTACCATCAATAGTATGACTGGGGTAAACACAGCTTCTCACTCCAAATGTAACCACTTCAGAAAGTTATGTTGTAAGATTAAAGGCAACTCATCTGGTGCTAACTGTAATCTATCTCTCTCTCTCTCTCTCTCTCTCTCTCTCTCTCTCTTTCTCTCTCTCTCTCTCTTTCTTTCTCTCTCTCTCTCTTTCTTTTTTTCTTTTGGTACTGAGGATCGAACTCATGACCTCACCCGTGCCAGGCAGGTGCTGTGCTACTGAGCTATATCCCTGGTCCACTTACTATAATCTTTGAGATTACTTGTGTAAGATGTTCTAGACTTGAGACTCTGAATTGTGTTTTTTAATGTATTTATTGTTTCATTCTCTAGAATGCTCCTGTAGATGTTGGCATCATGGTTTCTAAGCTGCTTTTGACCATACAGTTATGTCCAAAAACAGAATTCCAGCCCAGTGAGAAATACGGGGAGGACCTGAGTGATAACACTTGGGAATGCATCTTTGCCATCGATCTGCTCTGCTCCCATCAGAAGTGGGTCTGGACACACGATAACATCATAAGGTTGGCTGTTTTGCTGACTCCCAGCTCAGCTATTGCATTGTAACTGTAAGCCTGTGGATGTGGAGGTGCAGATTCCCAGCCTTTCCTTTGCTTGAGTTTCTGTAGTGTTTCTTGTTACTTTCCGTTGTGCTCTGTTACTGTCGCTTCCCAGTGGAAATGGCTCGCAGGGAGGCTCCCTAGCATGTCCTCAGCATCAGCAAATCCATGTGGAATGGAATGTAGTCTTTATCTTAGAGTGCAAGTACCCTGAAAACCCACAGGCGCAGAAGCATTCAGAAGTACGGAATGATAGCTGCTCACCCAAGAGAGAGTTAGGCCTGGTGTTCCAGGCACACACTGTGTCCCTGTCCTTCTGGCCCTGCCCCTGCCACCTGCAAGAGACCGGAGCACACTGTCACACAGACACTGCTCACAGGCCTTCACTCTCCCGTTGAGCCCTAGCTGAGAGAGACTGGCATGAGGGAGTGTTCTGGAAGCATTCACCCATGTTCTCAGAACCCTGACGACTGCTTTCTGTGGGAACGACACTTGAGAGGACTGTCTGCAAAGGGTGCTCTTCCCCAGCACTGGATGTCTGCGTGGCACACCGCAGGCACTGAGCTGTAGTCCACCTGTAGAGTGGAGTTTAGCTGCATCGCTATAAATAGACCTTTATGTGCGGACACAGAAGAGCATTTCACAGTTACTGAGGAAGTGGCCAAGCCTGTGAGTGCCTGTGTGAAGAGGGGCAGCTTACGGACGCCTCCCACCCACCCCGTAGGAGTCCAGGAGGCAGGCCCTTCTGTCCCTCGCTGAGCAGGGCCAGAGCCAGCAGCTGCCAGCATGCTCCGCCCACAGTCCACCGTCCTCCCGCCAGTGTGAGAGGGAGGCTGTCAGGATGTCCCCTCTTCCCCCGGCTGGCACGCGCTACACTGTGCTGTTTGCATACCTACAGGGAGGCCGTGCTGGAAGAGGCCGAGATGACAAGTGGGAGTTTCCTGGGTCGGCTCATGGGAAGCAGCTTGTGTTTCACTTTTGTGTGCTTCTCTCTTTTCTAGAGTTCCTTACAAACACCAAGCAAGATCGCAGGGCCCTTTGTCAGAAAGAGCGCGGAGGGCGGAGCTGGCGCTGCTTCCCGCTCTTTAACCCCGGAGCGTGCTTTGATTTGTGATGTCCGCCTCCCTCCGGCTCAGCTCTGGGTGCACCTGGCTTTGTTTGTCTGAGAACCTCCCTGTTTTCTGGAACTCAGGCTGCCTTCGCACCTGGGAAATCCAGAGTTTATCATTAGTGCTGGTGGCTGTAGGACACCGTAAAAAGTGTTAGAACAAAATCAAGATTCAAGCCTGGCTGTAGCCCCTTTTAAGCCAGCGTGGGCACAGACATCCTGAGTGGGCAAGAAGGGAGCTTCCAGTGTTGTCTGTTCCCATGTAGGGGACACGGGCAGCTTCTCGGCGCGCCCTATGTTCAGTCACGGTCCAAGGGCTCGTCGGCTCGGTTGTTCGAGTACTGATGCCCACGGGCCTTCCATGTTTGCTTTACAGTAAGGAGCTGTGGCCCGTGATGGATAAGTGGATAAAGTACAGGAAAGGACACACGAACGTGGCGTACACTCCTGACGTCATCATCGCATCCATCCTGAGGCTGATTGGTGAGTTGCTTTGCTTCTGCTGTGATACTTGGCGGAGGAATCAGCTCTTCAGCTGGCGGAGCAGGTGCCGTGTGCGCCACCCTCCTCCCTCCTGCCCAGTCCTTGTGTACTAGATTGTGTCCACCCTCGTCAGAGATTAAGACCTGTCACTTCGGCACGTTGTACTCAGTACTGTGCACATCAGAGCATGTGAATTGCTAGGAATAGTCTCATTTGGTAATCAGGATATCTTTCCAGATGTTCATACTCCCCAGTTAAAATCACCTTTCAGAAAAGCTTTGAATGAGCCGGAGGCGGTGGCACAAGCCTGTATAATCCCAGCACTCAGGAGGCTGAGGCAGGAGAATTGCTACAATTTTGAGGCCAACCTCAACTACCATAGCAAGACCCTGTCTCCAAAAAAAAGAAATAAAAAAGAGCTGGGGATGTATCTCATTGCAGAGGCCCTGGGTTCAATGCCTAGTACTCAAAAAAAAAAAAAAAAAACCTACAAAAATACTTTGGATGAGTCGTAGTTTCTCCTTATTCTCAGATCTAAGGAAGACCTCAGTGGTGTGTAGTAACGGGAGTAGTAATTTGTTTTTTGAGATGGGCACCCTGCTAGCTGGCCCAGGTGCAGGTAATAAGGTTACTTGTGGTGTGAACTCTTAAGCCTTATCAGTGAGCCTTCGTACTGTTTGATTGAAGTCCCCTAGTCCAGCGTGCATGGGAAGGGATCCGTTTGCCTACTGCGGAATTTTAGCCTACATTGTTAGTTGAAAATAGATGACTCAGAGGCATCTTCAGATGGCAGCAATCTGAGAGCAGCCCGATTCACCTCCCGTCTCCTCACAGATGAGACTGTCGTGATGGAAGGCTGTCAGGCTCGTGGCATCAGCCGGTGGAAGTTGTCCTGAACTCTGCCTTTGCTTAAAAGCTCAAGTGTTTGTTGGCTTTGCCTGCAGTGGTGACTTCCCTGAAGTCATGCTCACACGCTTCCCTGCCGAGATTGTGTCTGCACTGTGCAGATGCCCACGTGCTCACCCGCCTGCTTTTCCACACGCAGGCTGTGCACACGGGTGTGCGGGGAGGTTACGTGCCCATCTGAGCTGACTGGTGAGAGTCCCCGGTTGGGCACTCCTGGCTGCTTCTCCCCTGTGCTCGGGGGACGGGGCCTTTGAGCTGTGCACAGCGGGTTCTGAAGAACAGCCTCATCGTGAGACGCTGGTGACCTCCATGCAGATCTGCAGTCCCTGCTGGGGGGCCGGGGAGTGGATCTCACACTGGCACCCTGGGGCAGCACTTTCCGAGGAGCCCTGCCACGTTGTGTCAGGAGCATTTCCCACCTGACTGCCGAGAAAGCCTATCCAATTGTGTGTGAATGAGAGAAGAGACTGTTGAGTGTTTTGTTTCCTTCCGGAAGGCAAACTGCTTTTTAAGTCTTGATGTTTCACGTTGAACCTGCTTTCACCTCATAGGTGCCCATTTTAACTTGAGGATTTTAAGATTTAACATTACAAGAAGGAAAACAGAAACGTAAAATTTTTATGAAAAGTTAATCAATATTTCGCCAAAGTCCATGTGCACTTTGTTTTGTTTCCTCTAGGTCGCCTGGGCCAGTTGGGTTTAAAGGAAGGATTTCCAACTACTGTGAAAAATATCAGTTCGGTTATTGGTATGTTCATACAGCACGCTCAGGATGAAGGTAAACTTGCTTATGAAATGGCTTTCGCTGACTGTTTATGTCAACATAGTTCTGCGGGGCTCGGTTCTGTGCTTGTCTCCCTATCTGTACACAGGGGACATCGCCTGTGTGCGTGGGCGTGTGTGTGTGTGTGTGTGTGCGCGCGCGCGCGCATGTGTAGTCTGGCTGTTTTGAGTGGCCTGCTTACTCACCTACGCAGCGCTGGTGGGCAGTGCCTCCCTGAGGAGGAGAGGACTTTCTCCTGCCATGAGCCACTTTCTCTGTGCTGTTGGCTTAGCCTGACCCCATGGGGCCTTCTGCTGGAGCTGTGTCCTGCCTGTCCCAGCTCATAGGAAGTAACACTGCCTGGCGGGACACACAGCACTCCTGTGTGTGTATGTTGGGGTGCAATGGGGAGCCTGGAAGGGAGCCTTAGGAGCAGATCTGTGTGGTGGGGTTTCGTTCACCGTGTGCGTCCTGCACAGTGTCTGATCCTGTGTCTTTCTTTCTTGTGTGAAAGCTTAGCTCGGAGTACTGCTTAGTGATGAATCCAGTTTCTATTTTGAGTATTTGCAGGCAGGAATAACATGGTTAATAGCTCCTGATGAGAATCCCTGCACGGCACCCAAGAGGATCTTGACTTTGTGGGCCTCTGCCTTCAGCTTGCAGGGAGAGGCTTGCTGTTCTGAGCTCACCGAGAGCAATTAGAAGCTGCTTTCCTCCCTCTGGGATCCCTTCTGGGCTTCAGAGTCACTGCCCATGCTCCTCTGCGGAAACAGTGTCTTCCCCAGTCTGGGCCCACGTGTCCAGATGTGAGAGGGCCAGCACGAGCAGGCTCACTGTGCTGCGGGTCCAGCAGGACCCTGTGTGAAGGGGAGGAGCCTCACCAGGGCAGTTGTGGGCTAGGGAGCACAGGCTACTACTCGCCTGCACTGAGGCCAGGGGAAGGTGGTCACCAGGTGCAGTGTAGGGAAGGGCTCTCCCGGCCCCGTCGGTCGAGGTCTGCTTCACTCCGGACAGAGCTCTGTGCTTATTGCCAGGTTTGGGTTTCCTGCCCCTGCAGTCTGCTTACTGCTGAGAATAAGAGCTTCTCCCCAGTGGTGTTCCTCCTGTGCCCGCTCTCCGCATCGGCCTCTGCGCTCACAAGCTGTGGGAGCAGTTGGAGCACGTCCGTTGTGCTGATGTGCTCAGCACTAGCACGGGAACGGGGTTCTTGGCTCCTGTGGTTTCCTTTAAACACAAAGGGAGCTTCCCACCTTCAGCAGTCCACGCTCTGAAGTGCTCTAAAATTGGAACCTTTCTTAGCACTGACATGACCCCACAGAGTGGAAATTTTCATACCATGGAACTTTTCCATGGACAAAATGATTACAGATGCATAAAATCGCCTTTCGTTTACTGGGATAAGTGTGCACGCACCTTGTGTGTTTAGAGCTGAGTCGCATCCCCAGGATACCTCATGTGGATGCTAAGTATTCCAGAACCCAAAAGAAAGCTGAAACCTCGGGTCCCACACGTGGACAAGGGCCAGTCATCAGTGCCCTGTGGGGCAGTGCAGCACTCACAGAAAGCCAAAATGTGGCTGATAAGAAACTGAGTTTACCTACACCTCAGTTGAACAACTCCCAAATGAACTCCTGCTGACATAGAACCGTAACGATGCAGCATAACAGTTCTGCCGGAACCACACAGGGGTTGAGATGTCACTGTGTGGCACAGGATTGGGTGCTCCCTGTCGGGTTTCACTGGGGCCCTGTCCAGAGCTCATCTCCACCTCCTGCTCTCATTTTGCTGCTTATGGTGGTGTCGCGAGCTCTCAGACCTCAGTGTGGGCCCGACATAGGTCCAGGGCTGCCTGGGCAGAGGCCCTGTGGCCAGATCCTGCCCCCAGGAGCTGTGAGACCAGCAGTGTCCACTGTTTCTTTCTCACTGTGATGGGTCTCGAATGTATTGTTTTTATTGTGGAATTTTTCTTTTACATTTAATTTTTGTTTCTGACCAGAAATGTTCTCTGTGTAGTATATTGCTATAAATTATAACGTTAACCCTTTAAACAAAAGGTGTTTTCTCTTTGCAGATATCCCGTGGGGCATCCAGCTGGCGGCTGTGTATGCTCTGTGTGACTTGAGCCCCAGCAACCCAGAGGAGATCCTGAAGATCCTGGAGGCCTGGCGGAGAGAGACCTCCCACTGTGTTCCCTCTGCCATCGCCAGCTGCCTGGAGGAAGTTGGCGCCCTGAGGACGGGGGACCTCAGGTGAGCAGCTCTGCTGCAGCGTGACAAGTGCCTTGACACATCCCAACGCCAGTGGGCCAGCGGCTCCCAGACGAGGACAGGCGCGCGCACCAGTCCACGTGGTCCCTGCACTCCCTGCGCTCCCCGGGCCCAGAGAGGAGGAGCGGGCCGGTGTGCAGCTGCGCTGCTCCGAACCATTGCATTTCACTTCTGGCTGTTGTGATCATGTGACATGCAGATGTATTCTTGTGTCTTGGATGAAAACTTGAACTTAGCCCTTTTTTTGCTGCAGAAAGTGTCCTTTTAGTGGCTTTTTAAAACTAAGTGGCATTTTATAATGAACTTAACAATATGAGACCATGATTTGGTTCCTGAGCTATTTTTAGGTGAAATGCTCAAATGAGTGGCTAGGAAAAAATAAATTGGCTACAAAGAGAAATGGTGGAATCTTCCACTAAGTTGGAAGTGGGCTACAAAAATTTTCCTACAGATTAGTGCATAACCTACCAGGGTAAAACCCTGAGAGCCATTAGCAGAAACTCATTGAGTGCTTTTTCCTCATATCGCTAAAGTTCCTTAAAATATTTAACCATCATTCAGGAACGAAAGCCAGGCCGCAGACACTGCCTTGTGGACCTCTGGTCAGCATCACATCTCCGGGCCACTCGGGGAGGGAGCAGGCAGGCGAGGCTGTGTGCCGTGTACATAAGGACAGTACTATGATGTGTCTCACATTGGATGATATTCCACTTCGGAATTTTAGTATTTGTACATAGAAATGGGTTTAATAACTCACCGTGATTCTGATTTGTCTTATATTCATGATTTCTTAAACTCTTGTATGTGTTTTTATAATAAAAAATAAAAGTAAGCCATGCACACTGTTGTGTTGAGAAAAGCCTGACCCGTGGTGTGTTATTCTGTACCAAGGCAAAGAAATGCTGACCAGGGAGAGAGCTCTGCTTTCTGGTGACACCAGCATGGCTGGACTCCTCTTTAAACAGAGGCTTCCCATGACACCACCAGCAGGGATAGGTGGGAAAAGGTCCCTCGCTATTGGATTTGATGTTTAATCAGAATTACTGCCCCTTAGAAATGACATCTGACAGCCACTTAGCTGTTCTCTTGTGTAGTTCAAACTCAGGCATGCCTGAACGGCCCTCTGCTAGCATCCACCCCCACCGCACATGTCTAGGGACAGTAGCATCCCCCCAAAGCAATCACCCCTCATGCAGTGCCATGCAGAGGAGCAGGAGGACACTGCCTCCCCACTGTCCAAGAGGCCCCCTGAGGACTGAGCGCTGCAAGGACCTGGAGGAAGGCAGGGCAAGCCCTAGAACTCAAACTTGGGCAGGTGAAGGTGTCCCTGGGAGGAGCAGACCCAAGTGCCCAGTGTGTCCCTGAGATCTTGCAAGGCAGAAGCCTGCTGGCCCCGCAGGAGAGGATGGCTGAGCCCACCTCATTCCTGAAGAGTAGGACCCAGGACTCTGGGACATTTGAGCAGAGGGGGCCGTACGACTGTGTTTCACTGGGGTGTTGGCAGTGAGGGGTAATGCAGAGAGCCTGCTGGGACCTGCCCTGTGGTGCCTCCTGAACTGAGCTCTTGGGCATGGGGACAGGCAGGCGCATAGGTTTGGTGGTGCCAAGCTTGCCCTTGGCCACTGTCTTATTTTTCTGACTACTGAGACAAAATACCAAATGGCCAAAGTTAAGGAAGGAAAGGTTTAGCTAAACCTAAAGCTAAAGCTCAAGGTTCTTGGAGGCTTTAGTCCATAGTCAGCTGGCTCGGAGGGAGGGTGGCACAGGCAAAAGGCGAGTTCAAGGCAGCAGAAGAGAACAAAAGCAACATGAGCCAAAAGGAGAGGAGCAAGCCTCTCTTCCTCCTTTGTGTTACGTGTAGGCTACTTACCCTAGGATGGATATAACACTTACCCCAACCCCAGCACTAGACAGTGAGCCAATCACAAACTCTAGATTCAGCTGCCCCAGAAAAACCTGTCCCCTGTGACCACAGGAGGCTTTGGGGGGACATCCAGACATAAACTATAACATTCTGCCCTACCCGCCTCCCAGGCACATACATATCCTTTATGCAAAAGTCATTTAGTCCCACCTCCAAGAGTTGCCAAAGTCCTAACATTTTTGGCATTGCAGAAAAGTCCAAAGTCTCCAAGTCTCCAAGATGTAAGGCAAATTTAGCTGTGAGCTCCTGTAAAATGAGAAGAAAGCTAAACACATCCAACATTCCATGGAACAAGAGAGACATTTCTATTCCAAACGTAACAAATGGGGATACAAAGGAATGGGGCCAAAGCAAGTCCAAAATGCAGCGTCTGAGGCAACCTGTGGCACATGGTGAGATTCAATGGGCTTGCATGGCTCACCACTACAGCACATTTGGTGATCGTAGCTCCCGGGGCTTCTCTCAGGCCTGCTCTGCTCCCCCATTGTAGGTTTCCTTACATGATCCACACTTCTGGCTTTTTCAAACTTCTGGGGTCTCCACTGCACCTTTGGCTTCACACCCACAGCTTCGCACACTGTCTTCTCAGGCACCCTGCCTGGCCTCCCAGGCCTTCTTCTGAAATCCAGGTGGAAGCCTTTTTCATCCCACAACTCCTGCATTCTGTATGCACCTAAAACTAGTGCCATAGATGGTGCAAGGTCCACGGCCAGCTGGAGCAGTAGCCAGGATTCCTTCTCTCTTGACTGTAGGGGTTGAGTGTCTGCATTGCTGGGCACTCTGAATCCAAATCTGAGGAACAAATGCCCTAAGCCACTGCTGTTCTGCCACATGATGCCCTGCAACTTTCTTTTCAAAGCAGGCTTTCACTTCCGCAGTGTTTTGGAAGAGAATAAAACCAAATGAGACAAAACAAAATAGTCAAAATAAAAAAAGGATGGACACAGTACATGACTTACCAGCAAAATACAAGGTGATCAACAATGGTTACCATAATGCCTCTTGCTATGTTCAAAAGAATTGCCCATATCATCAGGCACAATAGAACTGAACAAACAGTACAGAACAAAACCAATAAAACACAAAACATTGCAGACATTACAGTACTTCAAACGAAGGTAACAGTCAAACCAGAATGGGTGTCATAGTGAATCTTACTGTCTTAAAAGTACTTGCCTGTACCCTGAGATGCGATCCTATCAAACAAAACAGAATGGAAAAAAATCAGTCAAAACAAGACACTGAAAGCAATACAGGGCTTCAGATCAAGTTCATAGGAAATTAAACATGGTTACCTTAATATATCCTGCTATCTTTGGAATAGCTGTCCATGCCATCAAGTCTAATACAAGAAGACAAACTGGAACAGAATAAAACCAGACTAAAGAGAACAATGAAAAGAGTATGGGTTTCAAATCATAATACAATTGCCTTCCCTTTTTAGATAATTCCTCCCTTTCACTTTCACAGGGTGCACTGTACAATTTGTATCCCAATAACTCCTTTAGTTTTTAGGTTAGGGAAGGAACGGCTGTTCACCTAAGTGATTCTGAACCTTTTTTTAGCCCTGAGCATGATCTCAAATTGTATCCATTTGCCTACAAGAGCTTCAAGGTTTTCTTTCTTTGTAGCTGATAGTTTTCCATTGTATAAAAGGATCATGGCTTTCTAGCCCATCTGCAGCTGATGCTCAAGCTACCCCCACCCTTCTGGTTCCCTGTCACACAGAGCATTGTTTTCTCATCTTTGACTTTCAGTCTATAACCCCTCTTTGGGGTTAATTATATTTCTTATATAGCGCATCTTGATGGACCCTATCTCCTGATCCACTCTGCCTGTGTTTCTTTTTATTGGTCAGTCGAGGCTATCCATGCCAGTGACTGGCCCACCTTCTCTGCCTCATCTCTGCCATGCTATGCTTCTGTCATTGTTTGTCTACTTTCCCCTTCATTCCACTGTCTGCTCTGTTCAGTGAACCCCCTCTGCCACTGTTCCTGAAACCATGGTCTTTTTTTTCTCTCTACAATGTCCTTCAGTATATTTTATAGGGTTGAATTGGTGGTCATGATCTCCCCCAGTTCCTCTTTGTCATGGAAACATCTTGTTTCTCCATTAATTTTGAGAGATGGTTTTGCAGGGTACATTAATCTGGGTTAGAGGTTGTTTTCTTTCAGGACTTTAAATCCTTCACTCCAAGCTCTTGATTTGATGGTTTGTGTCAAGAAGTCTGTCATGATTCTGATGGGTTTTCCTTTATAGGTGATCTGTTTCTTGTCTCCGACAGCTTTTAATATTCTGTTCTTGTGTTGAATTCTGGGATGTTGATTATTATATGTCTAGGAGTACATCTATTTTGGTTATAGTTGGCTGGAGTTCTGTATGCCTCATATATTGGAATATCATGTCCTTTTCCTATGCTTGGGAAGTTCTCTTTAATTATTTCTGTGAATACCCTTTGTATTTCATTTGTATTTACACCTGCTTCTTCACTCACATTTTTTTATTCTTAAGTTATAGGTCCTCTTGTCATTTAGCCTTTGTCTTGTTACTTTCTGGTTCCTTGTTATGTTTAAAAGATTTTTCCTTTCATGATTGCAAGCTGCAAACCTATCTTCAAGGTTTCTTTCAAGCAGTTTTGCCATCTTTCAATGGAGTTTTTAATTTCCTGGTAATCTCTTTGGATCTGTTTCATGTATTCTAAATTTTTTATATTCTTCATTGAAGGTTTCCCTCTTTCTATGCTCCTCTATTCTTTCATCTGTGTCTTCTTTAGAGGTGCTTAGCAATTCTTTTATGTTTCTCGTACCTTCTTTTACCTGTAATAATATTTCTGTTCTAAGTTCTTTTATAGCTTCATGAAGTTGTTTCTTTGTTTTGGTTGCTGCTGCTTCAGAAACTGCAGGTGTGGGACTCCCGATCTCTTCTGTGCTCACATCTGGACCAGTACTGCTTGGGTTGGAGGCCAGAGACTGCCTTTTGCTTCTTCCTCTTGTCATGTTTCTGATTTCTTCTGGACAAGTGGGTATTGGGGTCCCCAGCACTTCCTGTGTTGGTTATAATTACTCTGAGGTGTGTTGGCTGGGGATTGCTGCTGTTTGCTGATTTTTCCAATCTACTGGTAGCTACTGGAGTGTGAGGAGGAGTGGTACAGGCTGGCTCCTCTCTTCCCAGCTAGTTGAGTATGCACCACCTTAGTGTGTGCTGGGCAGGAGGGGTTGCTTAGGCATAGCTTTAAGAAACCCTCAGCCGTGGCTATTGGACTGTGCACAGGGGCCAAGCAGTTCTCACCAGTCTGCTTCAAGCTAGGCGTGGCTGGATGAAGCCGGCTGCAGTTCTGGCTCTGGGCTTATCCTACCCGACTCCAAAATGGTGCCAAGCGAATCGCCCACTCCCACAGGAGGACTGAATCCTTTACTCTCACTACAATCTGGTGCAATTCTCTGGTCCGCCACTCCCCTCCATCACCGCGTCTCCCCGCCGAGGCCTTCAAGCTTGCCGCCACCAGCTTCACTGTGTCCATGCATCTTCGGGTTCCAGCAGTGCTTCTCGCCCAGTGAGACCGCCTCTGGTGAAAGTGCTGCCAGCTACCACATTCTGTTTAAGTTTTTCTTTTTTTATATTCTCTCTTTGGGCTTCAATTCTTTCTTTTGTTTCTTCCTGGGTTGAGCGGACCCACTTTTTTCCTCCTTGTCTTCTCCAGAATGCTTTATTCCAGCATCTGGGCTGTTTCTCTCAGAGAGGCTATTTACTCTGCTGCTTACTGTCCTGCCGTCTTCCCAGACCACTTTTGCAGTTTTGAAGCTGCAAAAGATGGAGACATGCTGCTGCTCGTGATGCCCTCGGGTCATATTTTTTCTGCTTTTTTTTTAAGTGAAAAAAATAAAAATGATAATACAGAATTTCAGAACAAATAATAGATAAACAATTGTTAATAT